CCAAAGATAACAGACTACTTTCCAAACGGTCTGATGAGTTAGCTGTTAAGGATTCGCTGGCTCTCAGTGTTCAGTGTGCAGGTTCTGTGTCTAATATGGCCCAACGCCTATTTGCTCGAACCCGCCAAGTTGAATCATTGGCGGCTGAAGTGATGAGTCTCAAACAGGAGATTAGAGGGCTCAAGCATGAGAATAAACAGTTGCACCGGCTCGCACATGACTATGCTACAAACATGAAGAGGAAGCTTGACCAGATGAAGGAAACTGATGGTCAGGTTTTACTTGATCATCAGAGATTTGTGGGTTTGTTCCAAAGGCATTTATTGCCTTCGTCTTCTGGGGCTGTACCGCGTAATGAAGCTCCAAATGATCAACCTCTGATGCCTCCTCCTTCTAGGGTTCTGTCCAGTACTGAGGCTCCGAATGATCCCCCTCCGTGCCTTCTCTTTCTGGGGCTCTACCGACTGCTGAGACTTCTCCTAAGCAACCTTTGTGAAGGCTCCCTCTTGTTTGTTTATTTTGACTCATGTATATGTACATATTTGTAGCTTATCGGGGATATCAATAAATAAGCTTTCCTTCATTTCAACGTATTGTGTTAAATACACCAAAGCCTTCTTCGCTAAGTTCTTTGAATTTTCTTTTGTTGAAGCTTGTATGTTGAAGCTTTCTGAGTGGAGCATGTAGGTTGGGGTAGTGTTCCCTTAATTTTCCGAGTGAGGAAAACTTCTCGGTTGGAGACTTGGGAAAATCCAAGTCACTGAGTGGGATCGGCTATATGAATCTTAGAACGCCATTGTGCTCGGTCCTGTGTCATGTCCTTCGTTAGATCCAAGTACTCTAAGTCTTTTCTTAGAGTCTCTTCCTAAAGTTTTCCTAGGTCTTCCTCTACCCCTTTCGGCCCTGAACCTCTGTCCCATAGTCGCATCTTCTAATCGGAGCGTCAGTAGGCCTTCTTTGCACATGTCCAAACCACCGTAACCGATTTTCTCTCATCTTTCCTTCAATTTCGGCTACTCCTACTTTACCCCGGATATCCTCATTCCTAATCTTATCCTTTCTCGTGTGCCCACACACATCCAACGAAGCATCCTCATCTCCGCTACACCCATTTTGTGTACGTGTTGATGCTTCACCGCCCAACATTCTGTGCCATACAGCATCGCCGGCCTTATTGCCGTCCTATAAAATTTTCCCTTGAGCTTCAGTGGCATACGGCGGTCACACAACACACGCCGGATGCACTCTTCCACTTCATCCATCCAGCTTGTATTCTATGGTTGAGATCTCCATCTAATTCTCCGTTCTTTTGCAAGATAGATCCTAGGTAACGAAAACGGTCGCTCTTTGGTATTTCTTGATCTCCGATCCTCACCCCTAACTCGTTTTGGCCTCCATTTGCACTGAACTTGCACTCCATATATTCTGTCTTTGATCGGCTTAGGCGAAGACCTTTAGATTCCAACACTTCTCTCCAAAGGTTAAGCTTTGCATTTACCCCTTCCTGAGTTTCATCTATCAACACTATATCGTCTGCGAAAAGCATACACCAAGGAATATCATCTTGAATATGTCCTGTTAACTCATCCATTACCAACGCAAAAAGGTAAGGACTTAAGGATGAGCCTTGATGTAATCCTACAGTTATGGGAAAGCTTTCGGTTTGTCCTTCATGAGTTCTTACGGCAGTCTTTGCTCCTTCATACATATCCTTTATAGCTTGGATATATGCTACTCGTACTCCTTTCTTCTCTAAAATCCTCCAAGAATGTCTCTTGGGACCCTATCATACGCTTTTTCCAAATCTATAAAGACCATGTGTAAATCCTTTTTCCCATCTCTATATCTTTCCATCAATCTTCGTAAGAGATAGATTGCCTCCATGGTTGAGCGCCCTGGCATGAACCCGAATTGGTTGTCCGAAACCCGTGTCTCTTGCCTCAATCTATGCTCAATGACTCTCTCCCAGAGCTTCATTGTATGACTCATTAGCTTAATACCCCTATAGTTCATGCAATTTTGTACGTCGCCCTTATTCTTGTAGATAGGCACCAAAGTGCTCGTTCGCCACTCATTTGGCATCTTCTTCGTTTTCAAAATCCTATTGAAAAGGTCAGTGAGCCATGTTATACCTGTCTCTCCCAAAACTTTCCACACTTCGATTGGTATATCGTCTGGGCCTATTGCTTTTCTATGCTTCATCTTCTTCAAAGCTACAACCACTTCTTCCTTCCGGATTCGACGATAAAAAGAGTAGTTTCTACACTCTTCTGAGTTACTCAACTCCCCTAAAGAAGCACTCCTTTCATGTCCTTCATTGAAAAGATTATGAAAATAACCTCTCCATCTGTCTTTAACCGCGTTCTCTGTAGCAAGAACCTTTCCATCCTCATCCTTGATGCACCTCACTTGGTTTAGGTCCCTTGTCTTCTTTTCCCTTGCTCTAGCTAGTTTATAGATATCCAACTCTCCTTCTTTGGTATCTAGTCGTTTATACATATCGTCGTAAGCCGCTAACTTAGCTTCTCTGACAGCTTTCTTCGCCTCTTGCTTCTCTTTTCTATACCTTTCACCATTTTCATCGGTCCTCTCCTTGTATAAGGCTTTACAACATTCCTTCTTAGCCTTCACCTTTGTTTGTACCTCCTCATTCCACCACCAAGATTCCTTTTGGTGTGGGGCAAAGCCCTTGGACTCTCCTAATACCCTCTTTTGCTACTTTTCGGATACAACTAGCCATGGAATCCCACATTTGGCTAGCTTCCCCCTCTCTATCCCACACACATTGGGTGATTACCTTCTCTTTGAAAATGACTTGTTTTTCTTCTTTTAGATTCCACCATCTAGTCCTTGGGCACTTCCAAGTCTTGTTCTTTTGTCTCACTCTTTTGATATGTACATCCATCACCAACAAGCGATGTTGATTAGCCACGCTCTCTCCTGGTATAACTTTGCAATCCTTACAAGTTATACGATCCCCTTTCCTCATTAGAAGAAAATCTATTTGTGTTTTTGAAGACCCACTCTTGTAGGTGATCACATGTTCTTCTCTCTTCTTAAAGAAGGTGTTGGCTAAGAAGAGATCATATGCCATTGCAAAATCCAAGATAGCTTCCCCATCCTCGTTTCTCTCCCCAAAACCATGGCCACCATGAAAACCTCCATAGTTGCCTGTATCCCTGCCCACGTGTCCATTTAAATCTCCTCCTATAAATAACTTCTCCGTCTGAGCAATTCCTTGCACCAAGTCTCCAAGGTCTTCCCAAAATTTCTCCTTCGAACTCGTATCCAACCCTACTTGAGGTGCGTACGCACTAATCACATTGATAAGTTCTTGTCCTATTACAATCTTGATTGCCATGATTCTATCTCCTACCCTCTTGACATCTACAACATCTTGTGTCAAGGTCTGGTCCACGATGATGCAACACCGTTTCTCGTTCTAGTTTGTGCCCAATAAGAAAAACAAATTAAACCAAGAACTTGGCTGGAGTCAATTAATGCACCCAGCAAAGCAGGGCACTCCAATTTCTTCTCTTTGCTCTGCCATGCTTACTCTGTAACAGTTTTGAAGAAGCATAAGGATTGGACCACCTGCCAACTGTTCACAAAGAAAAAGAAGTTAACCCACTCGATCATTTTCTCAAAAGAACTCTCATTACAACGAGTATACTGATACCTACCGTAGCGTCTTGTATTAAAAAATAAAGATATGTGTAAGTTTTTGTCCCTTGAAGTGGTGATTTTGACACGAAATATTACAGTAATATTGTACATGTGGCATGAGTTTGCAAATTGGTCCAATATTTAGAGGAAATTGTAACAATGATTCCTTAACTTAACCCAATTGAAGCAACGGTCCTTCAACTTAATTTATGACAATTAGTCTCTTAATTCATCAAAACGTGTAGCTATAGTCATTTTCATAAACTCCGTTAGAACTTCCGTCAACATGAGTCATGTGCCACATAATTAAAGTTGAATTAAGGGGCAAATATGGAAAACTAAATTAGAAAATTGTAACAATAGTCCATCAATTTTAATCTAATTGGAAAAATGATCTCTTAACTTTAACATAATCGGAGCAAAGAATCATTGCACCAATTAAGTTAAAGTTGAATAACTATTGCTATAATTTTCTTCAACATTTAAATGTTGTTCCCCACCAACCGATAATCCAGCAAACAAAAAAGAAAAAGAATTGATAGGGTTATCATTGCCACCCGATCGGTTCAATCCCATGCCATCATGAGTCCAACAGTGTTGCACTGAGTACCACATATGTACAAGCAAATTTAATACAAGCATGTGTTGCCAAGGTAATCCCTTTATATAATTCTCTATGTGGTGCAGTTACGCATTATAATCAATCCGAGTAAACTATCGTTTAACTCCTTCAATTTTCATCCTAGTCGAAATTGACCTCTTGACCTTAGTTTTTGGTAAATTAACCTCTTGAATTATTTGAAATTAGTTAATTAATCCTTCACCGTCACTTGATGAAATTTCATCCACTTTATCGTCACACACTGATATGTGACCAACACGTGATTCACTCTTGAGAGCAAAGTTGTGCCTGTATTAACGGCAAAGTGGACGAAATTTCATCGAGTTTGATAGCGAGAGGTTAATTGATTGATTTTAAATAGTTTAAGGAGTTAAATTACCAAAAAATAGTTCAGGGGTCAAATAACAGTTTACCCTAACTAATTCATGCGTTATAATATGCATAGATGTGTATGGTTTAGGGAAAAACATTAACATTTTGAAGCTCGTGCGAAAGCCGATTGAGAGGCTATACTAGATGCACTTCCTTAGTTTCTTAGGATCGACTACCGATATACACTGGCGGATCCATGAAATAATATTAGAGGGGTCAATAAGAATAATGTTGGCGCAGCGCGCAAATTTTTTACCATAATAGTATGCATATCGCCAATTCATCGAGTCTTGGTAGGCCTAAAGTCATTTGGAAAGACATATTGTACACTTGTTAATGTATGCAAGGGGCAGTACCTAAGGTATCCATGGACATTCACCGAGTCTTGGTAGGCCTGAAGTCAGTTGGAGGGCATGTATGAAGCCAACTCTAATCTTCAAAAGGGCAGCACCCAAGGTATCTATGAACATTCACCGAAATTCGGAGGGTCAGCACCCAAGATATCTATAGACGTTCACCGAAGTTCAAGGATAAGCTAACCCACCCCCCGCGCCGCCCCTCAATGCATCCGCCACTGCCTATATGTGCAAACTAACGTCCACGCCACCTTTTCCTGGCCTCTTATGATTGACTAACCTCTGTGCAAGTAGTGTTCACACAACCTTTTCCCTCTTCGTCTCTTAAGATTTTTCACTAACTGCCGCTCCCTATACATATTGGGTATAGGTCACGCCGATCCTTAAGTGAATTGGCATGTTTGATGTACAATATTTCAATATCACATAATAATTTCTCGTCATTGAGCCTGCAGGAAGCCTTCAGATGTCGAAATCGTAGTGGCTGAAACTATGTAACACGGGTATACATCCCTTATGAGATATATGATGGAAATGCATGTTTGGTTCTTGAAGACTAAGGAATATAGTTTAAGCGGATGCATTGTGGTTCTCATTATATCAGGTAAACCCACTCATCCTTTAAATTTCTACTTTAATTAGTTTTACACATAATTAGCGACTTAATTTAAGCAACAGCTTTAAGCGAGTAGCTTTCACTAGCCATGATTACAACCCCAAAAGCACTGCAGCCCTCTCAGAAATCCTGCAAAATTCCCTCACAAACATTAACCATGTAAAAGCAACCCACTCCCTCTCACTACCCTTCACCGAAAAGTGCTTTTGCAGCTGCAATTCATTGACTTTTAGATTAAAAACCTCATCATAGACACTCATTAAAGTAATTAAATTGTTTCAAACCCCCCCCCCCCCCCCCCCCTCTCTTTGTTCTTGCACGGTTTCATGTGACTTTCTCCTCACTCCAGCAATTTTCTTTTTCTCTCTTTGGTCAAACCATTTCTCAGACAAATGTTGCAATGTGCAACTGGAAACTGAGAAATCTGAGATAGGGTTGTTGTGGAAAGTGCTTAAAGATCGGGGCCGTCACCATTGGTGAACCGAAGCCTAGCATTTCCGGGAAGCGATCGTTTCGTCCGAGTTCCAGCATAAGGCATGCCACTGAATGGTAATGTTCCCCCTCATCTTCTGTTTTCTTTATATTCAAGTGATATCTAATCTAATGTAAAATAGTAAAATGCGAGAGCGGGAATTGAACTTGACTATACATTGCAATAGCCAACTTGATTACATCCAAATCTGCGTTTCTCCATCTCTTTTATTAATTACCTACATTTAATTTGCTAGTTTTTTTATTTTAGCCTTATTTTTTCTAGCTTTGAGTCACATGGTAGTCTTCACTTACTAGTAACTCAATGTTGCACGGATACGGGTAACGTAATACAACTTAAAACACGGAAGGACACAAAAATAGAGTTCATTTTTTTTTTTCATCTTTTTGGGATTTGAGTGTCAAAACAGAGCCTATGTTTTTCATACAGTCTATGAGCTTCTGAGCCCCCGCGCCCCCCCTTCTGAAATTAAGGAAGATAATAACATTTCATGGTCACACAATAAATACTGTGAGCTTCTTCTCCGACAGTACGGAATAGAAACGACAATAGCACGAGGACACCTGGCTGATTGCTGTCCCGATGCAGCCATATTTCACGGTCAACGTTCTTGAAATGCCAACTGCCAACCCAAGTTAATGTTTAGAGGATCAATTATTTGTGTGTATTTACCCTCTGTAGGCCCTGAACACATGTACAAACCAGTTGTACAAAATTACAAATTGTTCCTTGTTTGTGACAAACCCTTGTCTTTTTATTCAACGTGACCATTACACCGTTACGTGATATTATTAGTCCACTCAACTAGCTTAGCTAATTAGCTTTCTTATCCTTTACCATAATTTAACATTACTCTTCGTGTGCAAACTCCAATCCACCACTCATTTCACAATTATCGAGCCATCCGCCTATAGCAAACCATTAATATCTAGGGAGAATCACGCTGTCCATATGTTTCGATTGAACTAGAACGAGTGTGTTGTGTACTTCCATGGAAACAAAAAGAAAAGTTCCCGCATGATTTTTGATATGTTGGTACCTATGAGAATGTATGCATTTGGTTCTAGATTGTAACCTAGATATTATTTTCTTGCCTTGCTTCGTTTCCATTTTTCAACTAATATATTCTGTTACGCAGGCCAATCTCTGATGTTTTTAGCGATCTTACTGTGGAAATAGGAGCATCAAGCTTTGCACTTCACAAGGTGAGTGAAACCGGTTCAGAACTAGTCTATCGTTCAATTTGTTGCGGTTACAGGATAGTTATTCATTAACTTGAGATAAAATAACTTTGTGTCACGATTAAATGAAGACTTGTCGAAATAATAATGTGACGATGACTGTGTTGCAGTTCCCCCTAGTTTCTAAGAGTGGAAGAATTCGGAGACTGTTGCTTGAAGCAAAAGATGCAAAACTTTCGCGCATAATTCTTGCTGCTGTTCCGGGTGGACCAGAGGGATTTGAGCTAGCTGCAAAGTTCTGTTACGGAGTTCATGTTGAAATTACACAGTCAAATGTTGCCATGCTTCGTTGCGTAGCGCACTTCCTGGAACTGACGGAAGAGTATGCTGAGAAAAATATGGAAACGAGAACTGAAGCTTATCTGAAGGAGACGGTGCTTCCAAACATATCAAAGTCGATATCAGTTCTTCGTCGCTATGAAACCTCTTGCCTGCAGCAGAAGAAACCAACCTTGTAAGCAGGCTTATCAAAGCAATTGCAAACAATGCATGCAAAGAGCAGCTCACCTCTGGCTTATTGAAACTTGACCACAACTTCACTGCAAAAGGAGCTCCAAATATGGAACCTGAAACGCCCGCAGACCGGTGGGGAAAAGCGCTTACAGTGCTTAGCCTCGACTTCTTCCAACGCGTTCTATCCGCGGTGAAAACCAAGGGTCTTAAACAGGATATGATCAGCAAAATCTGAAGGTGTCTACAGGACAAAATGCAAGAGATCGAAATTGGAAGAAAAAAAATATGAAGCTTTACGTGAGGCTTGGTGTTGCAATTTCTCAAATGAAAATTTATTGTTGTCCGGTGATTGTTTAGGTAGTTTTAACTGGTGGATATTAAAGTTTGGTTGGTGTGTGTATTGAAGTTTGGTTGGCTGGTTTGTATATTGAAGTTTGATTGGTGTATGTATTGAAGTTTGGTTGGTTTGGTTTGTATATTAAAGTTCGGTTGGTTGATGTGATTTGTTCGTTTTTAGAAATTTTGTCGGAATATAAATCATCTTTAGATTAAAATTTTTGTAAAATTAAGAGTAATGTAGGTAAACTAAATATGCAAACTAAATAATGTATTACTAATAAAAATAAGCACATTAATCAACACTTAAATAATAATCCGATCATCAACTTTCATGTAATTTAGTTTACAAAGTTTGTTCTACGAATTTAGTCTTCCTAGCATTACCCTAAAAGTAAATTTAGAGAACATAATTCAAAGATACAAAAATATCCTTACCCGAAAAAAATTAGGATTAAAACCATTTCATAACAATTAATACATTTTAGGTCTTGAAATTAAATTTTGTCTTTCAATGAACCTAAATATTTGAGTTTGAGTCCAAGGGTTGGAGTTGGTCTTAAACTATTTGTTTTTTACAGTCAAAAGTGCTTTGTTTAGCAGAAAACTTCAAAGTACTTTCAAGTGTTTTCCATAAAACACATAGATTGTCAATAAAAATTTCAATTAAGTACTTATGAGTTATGAGCTTTTAGTTTTAGATAAGCAATCCTACTACCTAATGACCCAACTCTTTGGAACGATGCATTCTCGGAAATTACTAGATAGAAGATTGTGGTAAGCGGGAGGAAGGTGAGGGTGATGTCAAGTCATTATGCGCCCTTGCCCACTTATGCCTTGGGCAATACACATGCTATAGTGGCTGGAACCGCTAGTAATTATCGTTCAGCCATACAACAATGAATTTATTCTCGAGCCTTGTCACACTATGGGAGTTGGCCATGCTTGAAGTCAAAAGAGAAGAGAAGACACAACATTTGTCGGATTGTGCTATCTACACACTCATTTTTACTTTCTACACACCCTCTCAATTTCCAAAATTAACAAGGGTGTGCGAGAGATAAAAAAGAGTGTGAATAACACTACCTAAGTTGTAAGTCATCGAATGTCTCCAAGCACGGGATGGGGATCATTTTCCCTCCCTTTTTCCCTCCCCTCCCTCCCCGCCTCTCACAAATTGTTTTTCTTGTTTCTCTCTGTACTTGTTTTTTTTTTTTTTTTGTTTCTCTCTACAAATATGAAATCTTGAGCGTTTAAACAAGAACGGAAAGAGAGTGGAGAGAATCTTTGTTCCCACGCGGCTACCTCCGCCTTTCGCTTTCCTTCCCCTTCTTCCTTACTGTAAACTTTACTCGAACATATTTCAAGTTATGTCATAATTAACATTAGAGTAATACTGTAAAACCCAGGTTAAAGAACTTGATCTGGTTTACCACTTTAAGCAAAAGTAGCAAATAATGATGGGTCATATCACTTTCTACGTTGGTTTCTTTTCAAATTTGTTTCATTGTATTGAAGAGAATCGAACACTGAACGTAACTTAATTTTTTCTAACACATTATCCTAAACACCTGTGCGTTCTTACTTTAACTTGGAGTAAAATGATTAATAACCCAAGCTACATTATGATCCACCCACCCACACGTTGGATCACTACATTGCAATGCTTTGCTTTTTCGCATGTGTTTAAAATAAAGAACTGAGATTCTCTCCAAATCACTGTGTTTGGAATCGGCAGCCTCATAGATCGGACCACTCATGTAAAGCTTTACGGCCTCATTTGTCTGTCCCACTGCTCTACCTCACACAAATCATGGGCCCATATCTCTTGCTTCCCTCCTTAAATGACCAAAAAAATTTGGTCCGTTGGCTCGGAACTTGGAGATCCCGAAATAAGCGTGCTTAGATTTGGTTTATAATTCTTTTTTACTGTAAATAATTACTGCCACACACTTCTACTAATGAATAATGATTCAAACTCCTTTTCACCCTCATGGGTAACCACAGAAGGACTCAGACATACTTTTGCCAATGCTGTCCTTACTTTATTATTATTATTTCCAAATTTTATTTTTCCCATCTGATTTAAATATATTTCTTTGAATTACATGGTTCACAAATTCTGAAAACTAGATTAACCTTAAAAAAAATGAATGAGTCCCAATGCAATAGCTTATTACCAAATGATGAAATTTTGATTTGATGAGGCAGCTCTGTAGACTGCAGTGTGACAGTGTCCAGCTTCAGCATTCTGCAAAATTATAATTTTTTGAGTATGTATATATATATATATATATATATTGTAATTGAGAAAGAGTAGTAATAACGCTTGTAATAAAAGAATTTTGCAAAATTATAATTTTTTGAGTAAATGTATATTTTAATATAATCACATATATATATATATATATATATATATATATATATATATATATTGTAATTGAGTAAGAGTAGCAATAATACTTGTAATTAAAGAAAACGTTGTGACTCACGAGCTTAATGAAGTTTGGCTTTAATTTTGATAAATAGTTTCTGTTACCTTTCATTATATATAAAATTTTCACTCCAGCAAAGGAGAATCCTTCATTTTATCTTCATTTTATCATTTTACCTACAAGCGGCATTTTGATAAAGTTTTGACGTTCATCGACGATATATTTCTAAATGTATGCAAGAATTTCACCAGTTGTATGCAAGAATCTCACTGTTCCTTTCACTTGGTCACTCATAATTTGATACATTGTTTGTGCCCAATAAGAAAAACAAATTAAAGCAAGAACTTGGCTGGAATCAATAAGTGCACCCAGCAGAGCAGGGCACTCCAATTTCTTCTCTTTGCCCTGCCAGCTTACTCTGTAACAGTGTTGAAGCAACATATGGATTGGACCACCTGCCAACTGTTCACAATGAAAAAGAAGTTAACCAACTTGATTAATTTTTTTACATGAATATGCTGTTATCGTAGCGTTTCATATTAATAAAATAAAAATATATGTAAGTTTTTTTTCCGTAACGTGGAGTTTGTGACACGAAATACTACGGCAAGAGTCTACCTGTGCCGTAAGTTTGCACATTGCTCCAATATTAAAATGTTGTTCATCACCAACCGATCATCCAGCAAACAAAAAAGAAAAAGAATTGATGAGGTTATCATTGCCACCTGATCGACTCAATCCCACGCCATCATGAGTCCAACATTGTCACACTGAGAGCACTGAGTAGCACAAATGTACAACCAAATTTAATACAAGCATGTGTTGCCAAGGTAATTATGTTAAAACGAGTCATTAAGAGTAGATATTGTAGGAGTCCTTTATTAGGAAAGAATTATATTGGGTTATAGCCTTTCTTGTAAAACAAGACTATGATGTTGCCGATGTTGGATTTTTCAATACGTCTCCTTACGTGGGATCCAATTAGTGGTCATGTGGGAGATCCACACAACTACAACCATGTTGAGCCAATGAGACTCATCGTACACGCGGGATCAAAGTACCCAACATCATTGCGCACGGTCAAGGGGACCCACCCATCACGTGGTAGTACACTACGGGTTTGCTCCTTGACTCTGATACCATGTCGAATTATCAGAGAGACGGGTGAAAGGCTCACTTCCAACAATACTGATATTGTCCCCAACTTGATAATTACCACATGCACAATCCGTCAAATGTGGAGTTTTATCACAAAAGGCATCGGTATTAGTTAGAGTGGAGTTAGGATATTCATAATCAAATATAGGGCTGGCAGATCAAGTGACAGATACAAAGCAAGGTTGGTGGCGAAGGGTTATACTCAAACGTATGGTGTGGATTACCAGGAAACCTTTTCACCAGTAGATAGGATGAATAGGGTACGTGTTTTAATCTTTTTAGTTGCAAATATGGATTAGCCACTAAAACAATTTGATGTGAAGAATGCTTTCCTTGATGGTGGAATCTAGAAGAAGAAGTATATATTGTTTTTCCTCCTGGATATGATGCAAATAGGAAGACTGGGGTGTGTATATTGCGTAAGTCTCTATATGGGCTTAAGCAAACACCTCGTGCGTGGTTCAACAGGTTCACTCAGGCAATGAAGAAAAATGGGTATCATCAGAGTCATTCAGACCATACATTATTTATAAAGCGTAGATTAAGCAAAGTAATTGCACTGATTATCTATGTAGATGACATGATTATTATAGAAGATGACTCAGATAAGATAATTAGGTTGCAGGAGAATTTGCATTAGAGTTTGAGATGAAAAACTTGGGAGATTTGAAGTACTTCCTTGGAGTTGAGGTTGCCCAGTCGTCCAAATGTATTTCTTATCTCAAAGGAAAATATTTGTTGGATTTGTTAAAAGAAACTGGTATGCTAGGGTGTAAACCTGTGGACACACCTATTGTAGAAAAACATCATATGGGTGTTTATCCATGTTATAATATGAATAGGTGACTGGCGTATGCTTTAGGGCAAACTGTTAGCATTTCGAAGCTTGTGTGAGAGTCGATTAAGAGGCTATACTAGATGTATTGCCTCCGTTTCTTAGACTTGACTAACCTATGTGCAAACTAACATTCACGCAAATTTTCTCGTCTCTCATGATTGATTAATTGTTGAGAGTATGAATCCTATTGAGAAAGAAAGAACATTGCATGTGCTTATAAGTAAATGGGCTACTCCTCATATTACCAATTGATTTTATGGTTGAATCAAATTTCTTTATAAAATCAGAGCAAGTTGTCCCTCGTGTGAAGTCCAACGGCCACACGTGCTCCGAGTCACCTAATTTGTGTTTCTACGTCCTAGTTTGAAAATTTGTCACACAATTGATACCTGAATTGGTAGGTTTGATGTACAATGTTTTAGTATCACATAATAATTTCTCGTCATTGAGCCGTACAAGGCCTCCAGATGTCGAAACCGTAGTGGCTGAAAGTATGTAACACGGGTATACATCCCTTATGGAATATATGATGGAAATGCATGTTTGGTTCTAGAAGACTATAGAATATAGTTTAAGTGGATGCGTGTGGTTCTAATTATATCAGGTAAACCCACTCATCCTTTAAATTTCTACTTTAATTAGCTTTACACATAATTAACGACTTAATTTAAGCAAAAGCTTTAAGCGAGTAGCTTTCACTAGCCATGATTACAACCCCCAAAAGCACTGCAGCCCTCTCAGAAATCCTGCAAAATTTCCTCACAAACATTAACCATGTAAAAGCAACTCACTCAGTCACTCACTCCCTCTCACTACCTTTCACCGAAAAGTGCTTTTGCAGCTGCAATTCCTTGACTTTTAGATTAAAAACCTCATCATAGACACTCATTAAAGTAATTAAATTGTTTCAAAGTCCCCTCCTTTGTTCTTGCTCGGTTTCATGTGACTTTCTCCTCTCTCCAGCAGCATTTTTCTTTTTCTCTCTTTCCCCAAACGATTTCTCCGACAAATGTTGCAATGTGCAACTGGAAACTGAGAAATCTGAGATGGGGTTTTAGTGGAAAGTGCTTATGTTGCTGAAAGTTTGAGGCTTCTGAACTTTTTGTAGTGGGATTTGGAGGTGCAGGATTTTGAGTGGGAATTTATGAAGTAAGGTGTTTGAAAATTTGAGAAATCTGAGACGGGTTTTTAGTAAAAGTGCTTATATTGTTGAAAGCTTGAGGCTTTTGATAATTTTGTAGTGGGATTGGAGCTGCAGGATTTTGATCATAAAGTGTTTGAGGAAAGATGGGGGCCGTCACCATTGGTGAACTGAAGCCTAGCATTTCCGGGAAGCGGTCGTTTCGTCCGAGTTCCAGCATAAGGCATGCCACTGAATGGTAATGTTCCCCCTCATCTTCTGTTTTCTTTATATTCGATCGATATCTAATCGAATGTAAAATAGTAAAATGCGAGAGCGGGAATTGAACTTGGGCACATATTGCAATAGCCAACTTGATTACACCCAGTTATGCGTTCCTCCATCTCTTTTATTGATTACGTACATTTAATTTTAGCCTTTTTTTCTCTAGCTTTGAGTCACATGGTAGTCTCTACTTACTTACTAGTAACTCTATGTTGCACGGTAATACAACCAGAAACACGAAAGGACACGAAAATAGAGTTTTTTTTTTTAGCATTTTTTTGGGATTTGAGTGTCAAAACAGAGCCTATGTTTTTCAAACAGTCTATGAGCTTCTGTGCCCCACCCACCACCCTCCTCTGAAATTAAGGAAGATAATAACATTTCATGGTCACACAATAAATCATGTGAGCTTCTTCCCGACAGTACGGAATCGAAACAACAATAGCACGAGGACCACCTGGCTGATTGCCGTCCAGATGTAGCCATATTTCACTGTCAACATTCTTGAAATGCCAACTGCCAACCCAAGTTAATGTTTTGAGGATCAATTATTTGTGTGTATTTACCCTCTGTCGGCCCTGAACACATGTACGGACCAGTTGTACAAAATTACAAATTGTTCCTTGTTTGTGACAGACCCTTCTTGCTTTATTCAGCGTGACTGTTACATCGTTGCGTGGTATTATTAGTCCGCTCAACTAGCTTAGCCAATCAGCTTTCTTATCCTTTACCATAATCTAACATTACTCTTCATGTGCAAACTCCAATCCACCACTCATTTCGCAATTATTGAACCATCCGCCTATAGCGAATCATTAATATCTAGGGAGAATCACGCTGTCCATATGTTTTGATTGAACTAGAACGAGTGTGTTGTGTACTTCCAAGGAAACAAAAAGAAAAAGTTCCTGCAGGATTTTTGATATGATGGTACCTATGAGAATGTATGCATTTGGTTCTAGATCGTAACCTAGATATTGATTTTCTTGCCTTGCTTCGTTTCCATTTTTCAACGAATTTATTCTATCACGCAGGCCAATCTCTGATGTTTCTAGCGATCTTACTGTGGAAATAGGAGCATCAAGCTTTGCACTTCACAAGGTGAGTGAAACCGGTTCAGAACTAGTCTGTTGTTCAATTTGTTGCGGTTACAAGATAGTTATTCATTAGCTTGAGATAAAATAACTTTCTGTCACGATTAAACGAAGACTTGTTGAATTAGTAATGTGACGATGACTGTGGTGCAGTTCCCCCTAGTTTCTAAGAGTGGAAGGATTCGGAGACTGTTGCTTGAAGCAAAAGATGCAAAAGTTTCGCGCATAATTCTCTCTGCTGTTCCGGGTGGACCAGAGGGATTTGAGCTAGCTGCAAAGTTCTGTTACGGAGTTCATGTTGAAATTACGCAGTCAAATGTTGCCATGCTTCGTTGCGTAGCGCACTTCCTGGAAATGACGGAAGAGTATGCTGAGAAAAATATGGAAACGAGAGCTGAAGCTTATCTGAAGGAGACGGTGCTTCCAAACATATCAAAGTCGATATCAGTTCTTCATCGCTGCGAAACCCTCTTGCCAGCAGCAGAAGAAACCAACCTTGTAAGCAGGCTTATCAACGCAATTGCAAACAATGCATGCAAAGAGCAGCTCACCTCTGGCTTATTGAAACTTGACCACAACTTCACTGCAAAAGGAGCTCCAAATATGGAACCTGAAACGCCCGCAGACTGGTGGGGAAAAGCGCTTACAGTGCTTAGCCTCGACTTCTTCCAACGCGTTCTATCCGCGGTGAAAACCAAGGGTCTTAAACAGGATATGATCAGCAAAATTTTAATTAACTATGCTCATAATTCTCTTCAAGGACTTGTCGTCCGAGATAACCAATTGGTGAAAGGAAGCCTCTTGGATTTAGAATTGCAAAAGAAACAAAGGATCATTGTTGAAGCTATAGTTAGTTTGCTTCCAACACAATCAAGGAAGAGTCCAGTTCCAATGGCGTTTCTTTCGAGCTTGTTGAAAACTGCGATTGCAGCATCAGCGTCTACTTCTTGCAGATCCGATTTAGAAAGGCGGATTGGTCTGCAGCTGGATCAGGCAATTCTCGAAGACATCCTGATTCCGGCAAATTCACATGGAAACAACCACAGCACAATCTATGATACAGATGCTGTATTGAGGATCTTTTCGATATTTTTGAACTTGGATGAGGATGATGATGATGAAGATAATCACTTGAGGGACGAAAGCGAAATGGTTTATGATTTCGACAGCCCTGGATCTCCTAAACAAAGTTCAATCCTGAAGGTATCAAAGTTGCTAGACAATTATCTTGCAGAAGTTGCACTCGACTCGAACTTGATGCCGTCAAAGTTCATAGCACTAGCAGAGCTACTTCCGGACCATGCTCGAATATTAAGTGATGGACTCTACCGAGCTGTGGATATCTTCCTCAAAGTGAGTAATATATATACACACACATTATGTATATATCTCGCTCTCGCTTTTCTTTCTGTCACTGTGTGCAAGTCCTAAGCAAATCTGAACTTTTTCCTACAATGACAGAAGATTTCGCACTCTTGTTTTCTTCTTCTGTAATCCTCCTTTTGTTTTTGTTCCTCAATGCTCTTGATACTTAGTCAATCCAATGGAGAGGAGAGATGCGTGCAGGGGACAAAAACGGAGTGCGGAAATCATTTCCCTTTAAATTTTGTGCATGCATTTTTCTTTTCAAGATGTTGATCAATACCAATCTGCTTTGTGTTTGTCTATAGGTGCATCCTAACCTCAAGGACTCTGAACGCTACCGCCTCTGCAAAACCATCGACTGCCAGAAACTATCCCAAGAAGCCTGCAGTCACGCAGCGCAGAACGAAAGGCTACCAGTACAGATGGCAGTTCAAGTGCTCTACTTTGAGCAAATCAGGCTCAGAAATGCAATGAACGGTGGCCACAACCAGTTCTTCTTCGGGGCAATAAACGGTACACAATTCCCTCAGCGATCAGGCAGTGGTGCAGGCAGTGGAGCCATTTCGCCAAGGGACAACTACGCGTCAGTCAGAAGAGAGAACCGAGAGCTGAAGCTTGAAGTTGCGAGAATGCGGATGAGGCTGACAGACTTAGAAAAAGATCATGTTTCTATGAAACAAGAGCTTGTGAAGTCACATCCTGCAAACAAGCTGTTCAAATCGTTCACCAAAAAGTTGGGGAAGCTCAATGCATTGTTCAAGATCAATAGTATCAAGCCTTTAGGGGGGAAGGCGCATTCGGAGTCCAGATTTCCGTTCCAGAAGCGAAGGCGCCATTCGGTTTCATGACAAACTAGGAGTGTGAATATGTATACTAAGTGTAACAAGAGCGTATAGTATATATAATTGTTGTATTAGTATGATTATAAGTAAGTGTGGTGGCTTTTTCTAAATTCTAATCTAAGTTTGAAAGTTTTTTGAGTGTGCTTTGAGATTCTATTTGTTATACATATATATAACTTGTATTCATGAAATCACAGCTCCCTTGAACTTTTGGTGAAATCTTTTCCGTTCGTGATATAATATGTGAATTAGTAACATCACGTGATTGTGTGATGGCTATATCTAAAAACTTTTTATGTTTGAGACAAACAATAACATTATGTCATGTTTGATGTCAGAGATCTAAATGCAGTAGGCACACACCAAACCAAAATTTGGCCTTAACTAGTGAGTTTGGTTTTTTTTTGGTTGGGGTGGGGTATTTTCTAAAGGATGTCGTTTCAACTAGATTAAGAGCTCAACAACATACGAAGTTTGTTTTTTACCAAAGGATGTCGTTTCAATTAGATTAAGATTAAAAGCAATGAGCTCAACAACGTATGAAGTTTGTTTTTTTACCAAAGGATATTGTTTCAACTAGATTAAGGGCAATGAGCTCAACAACGTATGAAGTTTGTTTTTTTTACCAAGATTAATCATGATCACGTGTCACTTCATCGCCGTAAAAAAACCTCACCAACATATTATCAATACATTTTTAATGACGCAATGCAATGTGACATCCTGTATAGAGAAATTTAATTGGGGCTTACTAATCAACTCAAAGATGCTTGACAACTTATTTACAAATAAGACATTGATTGGTATAATAACAAATTGACTCTGTGGCCCAATGGATAAGGCGCTGGTCTACGAAACCAGAGATTCTGGGTTCGATCCCCAGCAGAGTCGTTTTCTTTTTAATTTTTTTTTGTCCTCGGTTGCTGCTTCGCGCGTTTTCAAGGGAAGCGTGGAACGACGACGTTTTAGTATCTCGAGCAGAAGATATCTCTGCGTGCAATAGTTGTAGAACAAAAGAGAGACGGCGGCGCATCATCTAGCGATCAATCGAGAGAGAGATATGAGCAGGCCGGTGTTGCCCTTCTCCAGAATCTTCATGTACCTCCTATTAAAACCCTAATCTAAAATTTCAATTTTTTTCTTTGTTTCTTCGTTTCAGTTTTAGGGTTTTCAAATGATGCCGAGAAGATTGCTGATAATTAGTGGTTGATTATGTGGGTTTTCTGTAGTTTGATTTGTGTGTAATTAGCCCTAATTCTTCTTAAAAGTTTAAAGCTTTGAGTTTAAACTTGTCTGTTTGGTTTCGGTTCATCTATTTCCCAGATTGATTAAATTGATTTAGGGCATATGGGTATTGGCATTAGCCGTAGTTGTTTGGTAAAATTAATTTACTTTCTGCTGTAAATGGGGGTAAGGCTAGCCGACATTCACCTCTCCCAGACCCTGCGTAAAGCAGGAGCCTTGTGCACTGGGTACGACCTTTTTTTTGTAAAATTCTCAGTGAGAGTTGCAAGCTGGGATCTTTATATGAATGATAAAAGAAAAAAAATTTGCAGTTTGAATTGGTAGCATGTTTTGTAGGGTGGGTGAACTGATTAATCAAAGATTAACCCGCTGGCCCGACCCTGATCATGCCGTGTTCCCAAGTTGAAATTGCTTGCTGCACTGTGGAAAGGAAGCTATTTTCCCCTTTTGTCTCCCTTTGAAAGCACATGGGGGAATTCGAAGGATTTCGTTAAAACCTCCAGGATTGTTTTTAATTGTAGGTTTTTTGTATGTTTGGGTCATGAATTAAACAAAAACTGTGTTCTATGCCATTTGTAATAGTAGGGGCTGAATTTTATGTGTCTCTCTGATGCCCTGTGTATCGAATTCTTGCTATTAACTAGTTCTGATGGCCCTAAAAGTTATGTATCTGAGAGAAGGGAGTGATGTTTCTGCTGAATGTCAGTTGTGTGCTTGACGTCTTTCTTTCTATATTTATTATATTTTGCGAGTTTTTTCTTAGCATATTATTTTAATTTTTATTTGCATTTAATTGGGATTATATCATGTTTCTTGTTGCATAGGAAGCTAGAGCGAGAGATGGAAACTGTGGTGAAAGTACTGCAGCCTGGACCTTTAGGAATCATAGAGCACAAATTCTCTGGTGAAGAGATACACAAGGCAAATGCTACGGTTCAGAGGGCGGTGGAAAACTGGAGACGGAATGCAATCCTAGAGCAGACAAGTCCATTCTTAAAAGAATATATTCAGAAGTGATGGATCTGCTCAAACCATTTTTCATGGGTAATCGAACAATCAAACTTTTTTGAATACATAAACTTCTCTCTTCCTCAGCAGAGCTTTTTACCAAATTTGAAGAAAGGCTCTCTTAGTTTCTTCACCCTCTCGCTCTTTGCGAGAAGTGAGAACCTATCACAAATGTGCAGCGCATGTATTTCTTTCCTAGTTTTGTTTGTTATGTATGTTATTTGATAAAGATAGAAATGCTTTATTTGGTTTAGTTTAAATAATTACCCGTTTGTGAAGTATCCATATATCCCATCTTTCACAGATGTAAAATTATGGATTCACTGTGTAACGTTGACATTGATAAGGTAATAAGAGTCTGCATTTGTATATGTCGGTTGTAGTTATGATCCATTTAAAGCTCATCGTATTTTTTCTTATTGTCTGCATGGTATTTTACGGAAATGAATTTCTATCCATATATTGTGAACAAGAAGGAAATTGTGAGATGTGCTACAGCTTGTGGGCAAATGTCAACTTTAGTGGATATTTTTTTCAGAACCAGAATAAAGTAAAGCAAAATGCAAGACCTATTCGTGGCATCCTAACCACGAATTAGAGAACTTAAGATCCCATTTTCTTGTTTGATGGATTTCCTTTGAGCATGAGGTAAGTTCAGCATCAGTAAGTTTTCATATTTTTGTGGTTCATAAATCTCGGTTGATGCTATATGCTGAGCAGTTGTAGAACTATTGCAGTTAAGTATATGAGTGCTCTCTGCTTTTATTAAACATGCATATAATATAGTTAAGGGAGATTACAGGAACTAAAGACATACAAGTTCATCCACTTCGACAAGAGGAAATCAAGGGTAGTACTAGTACAAGATAAAGAAGGTGAAAAAAGCTTAGCTTTATAGAGTATATATCGACCTCGTACTGACTCCCGTTCATGATACCAACCGAAACAAGAAATGCTAAGAGGGAATAGAAGAACTGTTATTTGAGCTTTGTTAAGTAGTGTAGGTCTGGATTTTATAGTATAATATATGTTATAGATATATGAGAATGTCATTCAGGTTCTATTCCAAACCCAAATAGCATTGGACCTTATGAGCATTGGGACAAGCTGGTTTCTGACTTGGAGGCTCATGACCTTTTCAGCTCCGCCAACGAACTGTTGCCCTATGAAAACGGCTGGCACACTTGGTTCGCACCTCAGCTCCTGAACTAGTGTCCTTTCAATAGCCTGCCCATTTGGCATTTCATCTAGCTCATACACAGTTGGGTTTGCCCCGTAGCTCGATATGAGTGTCTTGATGGTGTGGCTCATGCAACAAGAGCTCTTGCTGAAGATCACCACCGGCTTTTCGGCCACCATGCTTGTTATCGTGTCCATTGCGAGTCAGAGCCCGGAGACAAACGATTAAAAGAGTAGGGAAATGTGGGGGTTGTGAAGACTGAAGTGAACTAGTCGAGCTTGCTAGCTTCTTGCTGTGAGGAACTTAGAACACTCGAGTGGTCTATTTTATAGTGCATTGCATTGCTTTGCAGATGGGGCGGATAGAATAATTAGTTGATAAAGACCCCTTTTTGGCTCTCTTCAAACTAGTGTTGTCCTTTGGAAATGTCCTTGTGGAATAACAACTTGCAAAAGATGTGTACGACAGAGGCATATTCATGGCCTAATCATCAGTGTAACGTAACGATAATTTGGTAGTGTTTTTGAAATGGTTGAAATGGCTAAAAGCATTTTTAGATAGCGAAAAATATTTTTGGCCTCTTTTTGCAAAGAAAATTATGAGTGCTACGAACAAACTCAGACTTAGGGTACAATCGTTGCTATTAGAGAGACGGCCCATAGTCCAGCTAATGCCGCAGATTCTTCTAGAAATAGTTACTGTATTGTATCCTTGTAAATTGAACTGAGTACATGTATTGTATCTTTATACATTGAACTGTATTAATATACCCTACTTAAATTAGGTCTCTTGTATGGTAACCTTTGATATCAATCATAAGCATTCAGTCGATTATCTCAAGTCTTATTATTTCTTTACACTTGCATTTGTATTCATTTGGAAAGAAGAGTGGGTGGTATTTTTGTCTCATAGACACTGAAACTCGGTTGGAACAATTTATTGTGGGCATATCTAAAATTTTTTGTAGAAAAATAGTTAAAATTTTCTTTAGTAGCAATCTGCAAGGGTTTAATGTGCTTTCTAACAGCTAAAAGTGATTCTGGCTACGTTTGCAGATTAATTTAGAAGTGTTTTTAGGTTATAGAAGCATTTCTTATAGATTCTTTGTCAAGAGCTATTTCAGAAGCATTTCAAGTGTTTTTCTCTAGAAAGCACATGAATTTCTCAAACGGATTTTGTTATAAAAACGCTTCTAACAAAAACACTTATAAGCAGAAATGATTTTTGAAGAAGAAATCCCAAAGGGCTCTAATATGATTGAATAAAGATAGGGTTTCATTGAAGGATGTCACTGTAGCAGGTGGAAATAGTGGAATTTATGGTAATAAAGCTTTTGGACATGTATTAAAAGGATAGTGTTATTTACACACTTTTTTTTTTTACTTTTTACACTCTTATTAATTTTTCTTCATTGATTTTATTCAAATCATTCGATCTAATAGCCAAAAATTAATAACGATATATGAAAAGTAAAAATATATATGTAGATAGCTAAACCCATATCGAAATAAAGGACACCATCTTTCTACCCTATCTGTTTTGGAGCATCTGCCCTATATTCTGCTGAGGTGGAGACAGCTGAAGTGGGTTTATCCGAAGGGGCGAAAGATTCCCATCCATTTCAGTTGAAGCACCAAAAGCGATTTTGTGAGGGACAAAATATGCTTAATATAAAGGCTAATCTTCCTTTTTAATAAATCCACGTGATTACCGTACAAGTAGGGGAAGATACCATAACATGTGTTTTTTTATTTTTTTATTTTTTTATTAATTTAAGAGATGCTAAACATCTTTCTCAAAAAAAAAAAATAAAAAAAAGGAAGAAGAAGAAGAGATGCAAAATATGACCTATATATTTAGGAATCCAATATTATGTTTATGTGGTCTGTTAGCAAGTATGACTAAAAGCTTGCTATTTTCTTGACAAACAATATGTTTACAATGAAAGCTCATCGTTATAATGGATAATTAGATGTTCAGAAAGATAAAAAGTTTAAACTGATATGCTGCAATGGGAGGATATTGGAACCCCATAGCTCATTTTGCTATTTATGCACTCACATTTTGACAACTGAATGACCAAAACGTGGTTGTTGTTGTTAGCGTAATTATTGCTAAAAGCGTGATAAAAAGTCAAAAAACATGCCTAAAAGTAATAAATTATAACAATACTATAACGTTTTCCGATTTTTGTCATGCTTTTAGCAATAGCTACTTCAACAACAACCATGCTTTTTCCGTAGTTATTGTCCATTTTTCTTGTAGTGAGCATTGTTGTCAAACAAGGATCTTAACCCCTATAATCAAATTCGAGCCATGATCTCGTCGATAAAGAATCATAACTTAAGGATGTAATATAAGCTACCCGTTAAGAATTTTGTACGTACCTTTTGCAGAGTAGTCCAATCAAAAGAAACTAAATCAAGATTTGAATAAAGAACTTTCACGTGGGTAGGTAGCAAACACTAACGTCAAAAAAAGAAACAAAACCTTCACGTACGATCGGTTCTTATTGCAAATGCCACTTATTAGTTTGTTCAAATATATATATATATATAAAAGCCAGTCGCATTCGTAGGTATATATAGCTTTTCCGGATGATCATAGAACTGATTTTGTCTGATTTTTATTCTGAGATTAGGGTTTCAAGAGCATAATGTTCATGCAACTGATCAGCATGCCATCCGGATAATATTTTTCATAAAGTTAGATTTGTCTGGAGCTACGATATACATTTTATTAACAAAATCAGGATGATATTGATAATATATGAACCTGATACCTGAGCTTATTAATTTAAAGTGACTATAAGTAATCAAATCATATATATTCTTACTTAAATCTCATAAATATCCTTTTGATTTCATCCTTGAATATTGTGATTTTTTTCGGTAAAATTAAATCTAATGACAACTTTTGTATATACTTGTAGGTTTATAACTTATTAGCAAAAGTTCCTGCAAATTTTCTTAAATTTTTAGAAAGCTTTTGCATGCAAGATGTTGAAGCATATGTATCACCTTAGAAATCTAATGAAGCTCGTAATGATTTCGTAACCAATTGGATTGCATATAATTAAGTTAAAACAATATAAATGTTGATTAATGGTGGGCTGCACCTTTGCTCACGACTCTCAAGTGGTGGTATTGCTCACCATTCTACTTATCACCATTAGATGAGTTTAAGTTTTGAGATTTGTGTCTATATTCACTACACAGATTTCGAAATTTAAACAAATCTAATAGTAATAAATAAGGTGATGAGCAAAAATATTCCCTTAATAGTGGACACCTACGTAGACCAATTCCTTTTTTTTTTTTTGCACAAACGATATTATCTACATTAAAGGGGTAGGGAAGTTGGCTAAGCCTCACAATGAGTTAGCAATAATGTGATTCAAATTCGTCTTTGGCGAAAATCAAAGCTAAGATCTCTCACTTAAGTGAAAAGAAACACTATTATACCGTAGTACTAAGTGGCAAACCAATTCAAAATTTTAACAGAGGAAAATAACTATATAAGCACCTAGCTCAATAGTTTGCATTAATTTTTGGCTAAATAGCCAAAATGGTCCCTGAGATTTGCATAACTCATCACTTTGGTCCCTAACATTTCAAATCAATAAAAGTGGTCCCTGAGATTGTCCACCATCCATCATTTTGGTCATTCCGTTAAAAACTCCATCAAGTATCCCGGAGCTCTTGGCCAGAAGTTTGGGCAATTTTCAAAGCTTCGTAACTCAATCGTTTCTTAACCAAATTCGACCCATAATATATCAAAATGAAGATAGGAAAGTGTAGAATAAGATTATACCTATTCGGAAGCCCAATAGCTACCGAAGATGTCCGGAAAATAGCCTCAAAGTTGACTGGTCCGAAGGAAAACTGGAAAACTGGAAAACTTGCCGGAAACTAGATAAACTTTAAATGTTTATAACTTCTTCAATAATCAACAAAATCAAGTGATTCAAAAACTAAAATCATACTTCTTGACAAGACAAAGAGACTGATACCTTTTTCGATAGCTAACTCGCCGTGGTTTGGCCGAAAAACGGCACAAAAGTGGTTGTCTTGGTCTTGAGTTAGCCACTTTCGAACCTTTTTTCGGACAAACCGCAATGATTTAGCTGTCTAAAAAGGACCATTCTCTTCGTCTTATTGAGAAGTATGATTTTCATTTTTGAATCACTTGATTTCTTTGAGGATTGAAGAAGTTATGAATGTTTAAAGTTTACCCAGTTTCCGGCGAGTTTTCTAGTTTTCCCTCGAACCAGTCCACTTTGAGGCTATTTTTCGGCCATCTCCGGCAGCCATTGGGCTTCCAAATAGGTATAATCTTATTCTAACCTATCTTCATTTTGATATATTATGGGTCGAATTTGGTTAAGAAACGATTGAGTTACAAAACTTTGAAAATTGCCCAAACTTCTGGCCAAGAGCTCCGGGACACTTAACGAAGTTTTTAACGGAAGAACCAAAATGATAGATGATGGACAATCTCAGGGACCACTTTTATTGATTTGAAATGTTAGGAACCAAAGTGATGGGTTATGCAAATCTCAGAGACCATTTTAGCTATTTAGCCTTAATTTTTCAAATTCATGAGACGTGGTTTTGTTATTTCAATAGGCTGCATGCATAAGAATAATTGGTAGGACGTCAATTTTAAATTTTACTTTTTCTGGATAAGTGGGGAATGTATTTTTGTGGATAACATATGTCTAACAAGAATATATAAAAGATATTTGCAATGCAAGGACGGTTCGTGGCATCACAAAACGTTATTATCGACTTTGCTTGTTTTGGTTTAAAAATATCCACCAGATAGAAATCTACGTACGTTAGTTTGCAGCACAGCTAAAACCCTAGACAAAATGAAGTTTATCGACGTCAGAAAATTCCCAATATGGCATTTTTTGTACGTGTAAAGCTCTGATAAGTTGTTCTTTTCTTCTTTTCCTTGTCATCACGTGGTTCCTATTCCATGTTTTCTTGTCATTTTTGCAGGACATATGTGAGCATCCAGCTGGGACCTCTCATGCAACACGTGATTATTCATAGTATGATGTCATTCGATCGTCAACTCCGGGGGAGAGATTTGCATGGAATGGATACACTGGTGCCGTAGTGCTTCGAGTAAAAAGACAATGTTATGTGAAGAAAAACATATACATAGCATCACATTATTGCTTTGAAACACTAAAATATGTTGTTGTGCACTCATTCGACCATTCCATGAAATCCTTTTCAAGCTCTTCTAAACAATGAGAATGTCATCATTATAGGAGCATTTCAAATAAATACAAAATACACATGACATATAGTTTAACCTTCTCCAATGATAATACATGAGTGACAATGTTTATAATAATACCACAATAACATCTTCATTGCATAAAGCCCTTCTATTATAGCTAATATACAAATTTTATCACATGGTACATGCAAGTAGCTTAAAATCTTCAGAGCTCAACAGAATCTAATTGCTCAAACGTACCAGCAAGGTGGACCATATAACTCTCTCACTGCCATTATTTATCACGTTATTACATGAGCAGTTTTGTCTTGAGACCAAAGGTCCGGTGGCTCACTGGTAATGGAAAAGTAAGAAGAGTTGTAATCCAAATCATCAATTAACAAGTGTATCCAGATTTTCCCCTTAATTAGCTAGATTTATATTTCATAAGAAGGTTTCAGTACGTAATCTATAGTTCAGAAAACAAAATCCAAAGGCCTCTTAATTAATGTATCCTTCTCGAACTTAATTAAGGTTGAGATAAAAAGTGAATGGGTTGCTTGTAATGTTGTAAGTGGTTTGCTCTCGTAGATAGAGAGTTATTCTTCAACCCACTGCATTTTGTATCAAATACAATACATAAGTAATCTCCGACAAAAATAAAAATTAAGGAAAGAAAGAGCTAGAAGTATATGCAATTACAGTATTCATAAACGTAGTGACAGAAGTTCTCAATTTGGTACTCATATACCTAGATCAAAGTACAAAAAGATCGAACCGGCCCCTTCGTAGGGCCGGTGGTTTAGAATTTAGGGTTCAGTACATAACTGAATATTAAATCTACACACACACACACACACACACACACTACTTTTCGTTCCAAATCCAAATAGCTTTAGCTCTCATGAGGAGAGGGACAAGCTTATTCTGTACATGGAGACCCATGACTGTATTATTACCGCCGACGAACTGCTGCCCTATGAACACAGCAGGTACGCTTGGCCGACAACCGAGCTGCAGCAGTGCTCTCTCAATCTGCTGCCCGTTCGGCATTTGATCCAGCTCGTAAATTGTAGGGTTTGCTCCAAACCCACGTAGGAATGACTTTGTAGAGTGACTCATGCAACAAGAACTCTTGCTGAAGATCACCAATGGCTTCTCATCCACCAATCTTGCCACTGTGTCCATTGCTTGCTAGATATTAATTGCTTTGTGTATGTGTTAAAATTGTAGAAATTTTATCTTGATGAGTAACTTGAGGTGCATTGTAGGTCTATTTATACTGGTTACTTATTCAATGTGCATGGTAGGATTTGCAATATTTTAGTTTGATCCACAGAATAAAAGCTTAAAGTTAGCTACGGATAGTAGGATAAATTGCTATTGTAATCCGATTCCCAAATTACCCTTTTTGCATGCATGGTTAATTACTTGATGGTAACCCTAGCTAGAATCACTGGTTCTGTTTAGGACATGATTGACCATTGGGAGCGTGAATTCCACGTCGAAAAAATTAAGGGACAAAAAATTAAGGGACACTATGTATGCTTTATAACAAAGTTAAATTACTCTTTATATTGTTGATTAATTTTATTGCATAGCCCCAACTTCTTTTATTTGGTATGCTTGCATACATGAATGATACTGATATATATCTGTTCATGCATGTGCCAGACCAGCATTCTGAAAAGAACGTTGAGGCGAAACTTGTCATTTCCAATTTTGGTATATTTTTGTTCATGTATGTATCGCGATATGAAGGATATGGAACAAACAAGTGGCATAACATATATATTGCATGCAAATTGTGGCAGCGTTAAATTTCTGAGTTACCCTTATCATACAAGAAAACAATATATATAGACAGACATGAATTATCATCTTTTGAATATACTTATTACTAAATTAATAATTAAGTGAGCAGATTTGACAATCTGCTCTATCTTTTGCACTCAAATTTAAATCTTTCTATAATTTTAATGAATTTAGTGTAAATATTCACATATCAACAATTAATAATTAAGTGAATGAAAATCATAAGATTAGTGTATTTTGGTATTTATCCGTTATTGCCTATAGCTGATCTTATTCGGAAGAATCTAGTTAAGTGGAGAAATAAGTTGGGTTTATCTAATGAGTAGGATAACAAGATTCGCGTCCCATTCAACTGATGAAGAGAACCTAAAAGAACCGAAAAGCTTGTATATAAAGTCAATAGAAGGAAAAATTTGGATACATGAGATTTTGATTAAAGGTGATCAACTAGCAAGGCCGGATCCGAGATTTTAGTAGTCCTGTGCAAAACATAGATTGAAACTCTAGAATTATCTCGATTGAAAGTACCAAAAGAAGTAATTCGTCATAAATAAATGTGAAAAAAAAAGATAATTCACTAAAAATGGATCACGGAAAGTAGGATTTCCACTTGCGGTGACACCACCAGCACTCCCTAAAATCGTTAGTTAATCTGCCCCTTGGGCCCTTCGCAGCATGAAAATATAAGGAAGAGAAAGAAGAACTAATTCCAAACCAATAAATAACTCTTATTTCATTTCATGACCAACTTTGCTAGCCTATCAAAGATTTAAATGGTTTATTTCTTTTGGAAATTGGCTGAATAATGAAAATACAAATTTTAATTGCTAAAATTATTAATTTTTTGAGATTTTGTCGGTATGTTATTAATATTTAATCAATAATGTCATTAAGTTGTTGTTATTTGATTTTATCAATTTAACAATTAAAATTTTTAAAATCCTCATTTCAGTCAATTTCTTTTATTCTTTACAACAAATCATGTATTTAATAGAATTCAAGTTTGTCAAATCCATGTATTTGAGATCTTTTTGCTCCCTTACCAACCTTAAAGCTGCCTTAGATGCTCATGTTGGATCCAATGCAGAAGAAGTGGGTATGCATTTTGATCTCGATCTGGTCAACCGGTGCAACATTCGCTTAATCAACTCATAGTACGTAGTGCTACTGATGTTAGTGCTGGACCTGGAACGACTGTTGAACCAAGTTAATCGACAAGATCTACCCCTCCAAATGGAATATTGGTAGGAATGCTCGTTCAAATGGAATTTCATGCCGATTATGTAAATTTGATTTCAATCTCCTTGGGACCGTTTGATTAGCATGCATGAGGTTCCAAATGAGATTGCTTTCTGAAAAGCTCTCTCACTATATGTGGATTATTTTTGCCAGTAGTTGCACCGATTTGGTACGGTTGACAAAACCCAAAAAAAGGATTTGGTGTATATTCCCCACATCACGAAAACGATCTCAGCTCATACTGTCATCAAATGTGGAAATGTAAGTGGGCAGAAAATATTCTTTAGCCCTTGGTTAAGTCATGATATAAACATAGATATTTCGAGTTTTTATACAATAAAAGGAGTCAATGCATTGCATGGGGATGCCTATAATTGAACAAGAGTAATGCTAGGTAAATTAATTTTTTAGACCAAATTACAAACTATATAACGTATTACCAATGTGAAATAAACACATTAATCAATTTAAGTAATAATTCAATCGTCAACAACTATGTCATAAAATTTATAAAATTTAGTCTAAAAAATTAATCTTCCCATTACTCATTTAACAAATGCGGGCGCCAGTGGTTTAGCATCCCCAAAGGATTAAAGAAATATTAAAGAGTGCTACTTGTTTAGAGTAGTATTCTGCCTTTGCAAATTGCAACTCGATCTACTTTCTTTAAAGAGGATATTTACTAATCCAAAAAGGAATGATCTTTCCATATAAGGCTTCTCGCATCAAGGTTTGGACTTTTGAGGAGTTGGGTGGACGGGAGGTTGTCATAGGCTTTATCTTTGCATATGCCATGTAGATTGGGAAATAATTTCTTTGACATTATTTTTCTCGTTCTGCACATTTTTATTTATTTATGTCTATTAATTTTTTATTTATTTAAAGGTTAGAAATAAAGAAAACATGCATGGAAGGGAAATAATGTGTGAAAATTATTTCCTATGAAATATTCTTTTGGTTAAAAAATATGGTGTGTTTTCTTCTTTCCCTTTTAGCTTATAATAGGAGGAAGGAGATTTTGAGCTTGATGTGGCTGTACTTGCAAGCAAATTTATTGGTATAAAGAAATAAATGTTGGAATTGCTTCTTAAGAGATAAAAGGGTTTTATGACGAAATATTACACTTCCAACTACTTTTGACAAAAAAAACTTAAAAACATAAATGGATCATAGAATTGCTATCTGGAGAAGCATCTGCTATGTGTTTATTCAAGATGCACTTTCAAGAGCTTTCTTGAAAGCACTTAGATTTTTAATGAAGAGTTCTACATACAGTAATAGGTTATTACTTAATAGAGGTGTACTTTAAAAAATTTACTTTTTAACTTAGTTATACTTATTCTATGAATAAAAAGTGCTACATTTATAGCGGAGCATGTCAATTTTCGAGAGGTAATAATAGGACAAAAGAAACACCTAGTCTCAAATAGTAAGTGCATGTATATAGTGGCTTCGAAGATAGGTAAATGAGTCATGTTAAAGGTCTTTGTTGACAATTAATTTTGATTCCTTTATGAGTGGCTTTAGGAGATTAGGGTCCCCCTTATATTCTACCTCCATTTGCGTACGTCAACTATCGTCGTCTCCACAAGGATATTCAAATCGTAGGACATTATTACCTTCGCGCTACTGGAGTATAGTTTCGTCATTTCCAGAGAGTGGGCGGATGTTCGCCCTTTCCCCTTTGCACAATATTCGCGATGTAGCTCCCGAATCAAAGTGTGAATGTAGAATAGGGATGGGCAACGATTATGGCAAGCAGGTAACCGCAGTTATTTACTCATAACTGTTTATGTTCATACCCGCATAACTGTTTACCCGTTGAGTAATTGCATAAACGATTATACCCATACCCGTTTATAAACGGTTAACCATACCCATAACCGTGTATCCATTTAACCATAACCGTTTACCCATTTAACCATAACCATTTACCCGTTTTTGAACTCATTTATCCTTTTTTTACCCATTTACCCATTTTTCACCAATCTACATGTTATTTTTAATAACTTGAAAATTACAAAAGAAAAATTTGTCAAAATTTTCATTTTCTGACAATTAAACACCATTATAGGTACATTTTAGCATACATTTCCCTATTTTAATCATTTAAGATCTCATATAATTCCAATAATTGAAATAATAATTTACGAACGATATTTTTTTGCTACACCCAAGCAAGTCTTTAATTATAATGCGTATGACTACAAAGTAAAGCTTCTAAAAACAAAAAGTAATCATTATCTTGAATACTATATGATTCAAAGCTTCAAAATATTCCAAAACTAAACACTTTCGAACACTAATGCTTTAGCACTTCAATCAAAAAGTCTCATCGACTCGTTGTCACCAAAGAGGCCTACAAAAGAAATGTATAAATTGAATTAGTATCTCATTTAGAAACACCGACACCAATTAGCATGAATCCAACATAGGTAAGTGATCACAGAAGGTTTACATTGTACACTCAATTATCAGGTTAAAAATAAAAAATAGGGCAAACAAAAGCAAATCCTTAGTCCTTCTCCTCTCTAATATATATATATATATATATCTTAGCACCTACAAAGGGAAGGTCCTGATGATCGTCAATGTCGCACCGCAATGGTACACAATACCTTCTATTTTCTTTCTGAGATCTTAGCACCTAGAAAGGAAAGGACCTGATGATCGTCAACGTCGCATCGCAGTGTTACACAATATCTTACATTTTCTTTTTGAATATACAATATATATATATATATAAATCAAAGGGAGCTTTAATGAAAAGAGCTTGGATTAACTTTTATTTAATGAAAAACCACCCTAAACTATTATTTAATAAAAAGGGCTTGAATTTTAATCATAAGGACACAAAACTTGTATGTCAGATCCTACAAAAACTAAAACACACGGGCTCGCCAAAAAGTCCAAACCACATAACAATTAATATTCCAAAATTGCCCCTAACGGAGCCTAACCCAGGCCCGTTAGCCAAAGTTGCAGTTACTAATATTCATCATCCCTCCCAACACCATTTGGACATCAGACCGACATGGTGAAGAACCACGAGTTTTCATAAATGGCTGATATTCGATTCCCATTACTACTACTCACTTTCACTCATTTCCATTCCCAAGCCACCAAACCTCAACAAAATCCAACTCCTACCCACAAATCTTCACGCCCCAAACCTGTTTTCTCGCTACATTTCTACAATTCGGAGCCCGGGAATTCGAGCTTCCAACTCGTCGTCCTCCACCCAGTTCAAGACGAAGCTCGAAAGCCCAGCGAGGAACCATGAGCATCGAAGATACTCGCTGCTTGGTTAACCTCAACGTGGGCCATTGGCAAAGTTCCTTCTTTGTAAGTATCTGGTTTGCTCTCCAAAATTTGGCATGTGTTTGGTTGCTGAGAAAATGAAGGAAAATATGTGAATTTTAAATGGTCTTTTGTTTTATGTTTTGTTTGTCAAGGCTACAAAAGTTTCAAAATTTCTGAGCAAAATGCATGTAATTTTTGTTGCGTTGGTTAGTCCTTGGTTTCTGGGATTAGTTAGTGAAATGTTGAATTGTTGTTCCGGCATTTTCTGGGCAGCCAAACAGATAAATTATGTTAATTTAATAGGAATCAAATGATCCCCATGATTTATTAGTTCTGATTATTTATTGCTATTGTTGGGAATCGCAGATAATCTTTGGGCACCAACGGTGGGGAAGAACTGGAGGAGGTGTGCGAGTTTGAGGGTGAGCGAGCCTGGATTGGCCTCATTGCAGTGGCTGAGGAAGGGGAAGGTGGCGATGGTGGGCGGGGGGAAACGAAGAATGTGGGGACGGGGTGAAAGCAGGAAAGGGATGAACAACAAATTCATATGATTTTTTAAAGATATTTCGTAAAGTACTACATAGGTATAATTATTTAAACTTTCATCTCATTTTATCATTATTTCTTAAATTGAACACGTGTATTATCATTATTTCTTAAATTGAACACGGGTACTATAACTATTTCTTAAATTGAACACTAGTACTATCACTATTTCTTAAATTAAACACTAATTATTTCTTAAACTGAACACTGATACTATTATTATTTATTAAACTGAACACTGACTATTTCTTAAATCGAACGCTGATACTATTACTATTTCTTAAACTGAACATTGATACTATCACTATTTCTTAAATTGGACACTGACTATTTATTAAACTAAACACGAATACTATCACTATTTCTTAAACTGAACACCGATGCTATCACTATTTCTTAAACTGAATATTGACTATTTCTTAAACTAAATGCTGATTATTTCTTAAACTGAATACTGATACTATCACTATTTCTTAAATTGAACACTGACTATTTATTAAACTGAACACGAATACTATCACTATTTCTTAAACTGAACACCGATGCTATCGCTATTTCTTAAACTGAACACCGATGCTATCGCTATTTCTTAAACTGAACATTAACTATTTCTTAAACTGAATGCTGACTATTTCTTAAACTGAACACCCCTTGATAATTTTTGTACGTTGATATATATATATATATATATATATATATATATATATATATATATATATCGCGTTGTCACTTAACGATTTATGTAACAGAATATCTAACGGATGTATGACAGTGCAATTAAATTCACAACTTTGTGGACGACATTGCAATGTTTTAAATATGATGTCAAATTGTTACTAGTAGGATGTCTAGATGCTTATGTTGTCAAATTGTCAAATGGTACCATTATTGATCGTATAAATTTTTATCAGAGTATGTCATTCTAATCCTTCTTAAAATAAGGAGACACTATTTATGAAACTGGACCAATAAGTAAACATTATTTATGAAACCAAATCAAGAATGAAATACTATTTCTAAAACTAAACCAATAGGTGGAAACTATTTATGAAACTAGACCAAGAAAGAAACACTATTTATGAAACTAGACAAAAAATAGACTATTTATAAAATTGTACCACTTGCTATACACTATTTATGAAACTGGACCATGAATTAGGCATTGTTTATGACACTGGACCAAGAACAAGGCCACTATTTATGAAAGTAGATCAAGAACTAGGCACTATTTACGAAACAGTGATAGTACTAGTGTTCGTTTGATAAATAGTCAATATTTAGTTTACAAAACAGTGATAATACTAGTGTTCCGTTTAAGAAATAGTCAGTGTTTAGTTTACGAAATAGTGATAGTACTAGTGTTTCGTTTAAAAAATATGCATTGTTTAGTTTACGAAACAGTGATAGTACTAGTGTTCAGTTAGTGTTTAGTTTACGAATTAGTGATATTACTAGTGTTCAGTTTGAGAAATAGTCAGTGTTTAGTTTACGAAACAATGATAGTACTAGTGTTCGTTTGATAAATAGTCAATGTTTAGTTTACGAAACAATAATAGTCTTAGTGTTCAACAGTGATAGTACTAGTGTTTTGTTTAAGAAATAGTCAGTGTTTAGTTTACGAAACAGTGACAATACTAGTGTTTAGTTTAAGTAATTTGCTGTAGTTTCAGAAATAATGTGAAATTTTTTGTTGCAGTTTCATAAATAGTGTGGTAATTTGATGAAGTTTCAGAAAACCAAACTTTATTTGATAATGCTCAAAAAGCCAAATAACACTAAACCACACATTAATTTTTAACTTAGGAAACAAAAGTCAGATATCCAAATTTAGTAACACTACAAATTCTAATCTCAGAAAACCCAGTTCATGTTCATCAGTGGAAACAAAACTTAAAGTACATGAGGCTTTCTGAGTTCAACATCAACACACTCCTTGCAACCCTGAATGTGTTCATCGTCGATAACCGGTCTAGTGTGCAGAGCCACCTTCACACAACAATTCTCTGATGCCTTCATTGAATTGCAATCAGTCACAAAAATAAAAATAAAAAATAGAAGCAATTTGAAGGGAAAAAAAAAGTTTATGCAAATGAAAGCAACTATCATGATTTGCTGCAATATGTTGGCCATAAACATTGTCTTGTAAAGTACCCAGCCAACTAGGAGGACGATTTGGTTCTAAGAAAGAGAACAGTAACTTCATTAGCTGCAATCACAAAATAAGCATATGTCAAAACTAGACAAGATTTTATACATCAAATTCCTTATTTAATATTAAAATTTGATGAGGAATACCTCCTCTTCATTCACCAGTCTTTAATATAACATCAATTTCACAAGTGAAAACCTCATAAGCAATGAAGGGGAACCTAAAGATCATGAGGAAAAAAACATTTACTCAAATAATCAAAAGCAAAACTCAAAATATAAAAATCTCGAACATTTTGGAGAGAAACATGAGTAATAAAAATTGTCAAAAGTAATGCTTTGTCGAGATGAAATAATACTTGAAGGGTTGTTTGCTTTTAGCATCCTCAGGAGGTTCTCCAACAATATAACCCAATAATTGCTCCACACGGGGATCAATTATTCATCCACAATCAAGCTCCCTATTATACCAGATTTCATCAACGTATAATTCCTCCAAAATTCCCAAAACTGTAAGGAAGGACAACAAATCCTGGTATTGAATTTAATATATATACTAGAGAAGGCAGTGCATAAAAACTAGATGCAGCTTACTGTTCGATAACTCCATAATTTGGAGTAAAAGCTTGAAGTTGCAGATGAGATTCCCGCAAGAACCTTCTATCTCGATGATCTTGGCGTGGACTTTGATCTTGACACCGTCGGGGATGTCCGTCGTCTCAGAGGAGAGGATGGTCTTCATCTCCGCTGCTCTGGTTGTTTCTCTCTCTCGCTATGTGGCTCCGGTTGGTGAGTGAGTGCGATTTGGGAGAGGCCAGGGAAAAAGAGTTGGAATTAACAATATGGGAGGAGTCGAAGGATTTGAGGGTTTTTTATTTTTTTGGGTCAGAAGATAGGATTTGAGGTTATGTAGGCAGAGAATAGCTCGAAGACTCAGAAAGAAAGGAAAAAGAGGTTAAATGGACATAGCCTTACTGTAAGGGGCAAAATCGAAAATTCATTATGTGGGCCAAGTTGATTGGCCTGATTAAATGTTGGACTTTGTCCTAACCATTAAATAAACTTACTACCTGGTTTTTGATTAAAATATAAAGTTTTTGAGCCCTTATCATTAGTTTTCCTTAAATCAAATGGGTAAATGGATACCCGTTATAACTGCGGATAATACTCATAACCGATGGATACCCGTTATAACCACGGATAATACCTATAACCACCCATTTAAATTTCACGAATAAACGGTTATACACATAACCGTTTGTTCGTCTAAACGGTTACCCATAACCGTAAAAGTAAACTTTAAATAGACGGGTAACCGCGGTTATCCAAACCCATGGGTATTTTGCCCATCCCTAATATAGAAACACCTGGTCTCAAATAGCAAGTGCATGTATGTAGTGGCTTGGAAGATAGATAAACGAGTCATGTTAAAGGTCTTTGTGGACAATTAATTTTGATTTATTACCAACGTGGAGGCAAGTTTATTAAAACGAGACCTAAATAATAACGTTAATTTTTTTTTTTAAGGAAAATTGTAACTTTATTACAATGTGATAAATCTAGATCAGGACATCCCAATCGATCTCACGAACAAAACTAACTGGACAAGAAAGAGCAAAACGTGCTTTTTCACACCACAAATTACAAACCAGATCAGCAAGCCAAGGGTGTGTGTCCGGGTTCTCGGCTATCTGATCACATTCGAACCACGGAATTATAGTGCTCACCAAGCCCAAATGCATGCTTATGGTATGACAACATAATACTCGAATCGGAAGAACCTGTTCCGCTATCGGATTTGTACTCCTTCCCCATCTCCACATCAGGGAAGGATCCTGAGTATATCTTGATAGGCTTTTTAAGGCAGTGAGTTAAAGCACCAAGCTCTAGCTGTCCTCCCCATGCTGCAGTTGACTCCACTTCTTTACAGTAGTTCTCGAACCTCTCTGCAAGTGACTCGTCAGAATCTCCATCTGCTGGATTCTCCGACAAGAAAAAAGGGAGAAAATCAGATGCATGCTTCCTCATATAAGCAGCTACCATTTCTCGAAGCTGTTGGTACGTGTAAGGTGATGAACCTCCCGAAAGGTGGGCCAGTTGATCCTGGATAGCTCGGTAGAGGCAATGGCCATCAGGCTTTATTTCATTAATGGTCAAGCCAAAGGGTTCGAGCTTTTTCTCTAGTTTTTCATCCTCAATCATTCGATCACTTACTCGGTTGCTCTGCTCTTCTTGAATTCTTTGCTCCCTGGCTGCATCTTGCTGAGCCCTCTTCTCTCGCCTCTTCGAACTCTTGCTGGGCTTTGCCTGCTCAGGTTGACTGGTGACAGAAACACCAGCTATGGCCTTCACTAAAGTGTCAAGTTTACTTTTCTCATTCCCATTACTAGCACTATAGCCTAACGAAGCAAGTTCTGCAGCATGTTTTTCTTTAAGATTAGCAGAAAGCCGAGTAATCTCTTCCTCCACCTGCTTTTTCTTAGCTTTTTGTTCAGCCTTGCTCCCTTTGGCAGCTGCCTTTTTCATTTCAGTTTCCTTGTCCTGAAGTTTTGATATCTCTTTCCTGTATAACAAACATGTCGTCAACGGGGGAATGACATGAATGATTTATGGGAAAGTTAACATAGTAGACCTAACAGTTTTAAGGCACCAGCCTCAATGAAACTACAACAAATCCACATTCTTATTCTCAACCACTTCTGGGAAAGCATGAAAACGCTTTATGCATGTCATGATCGAAACAAATACTACCACATCAATTCAAATATCTTGAAGACTGAGTGTTCATATTAGATGGCCGCAAGTGTGTTTGATTACAAATGTACCGTATAGATTTAAGAACTAATCTCACTTGCTTTACCAATGGAACCGCCAGCCAAATACAACATTATAAGAAAATCTAAAACAGAGAACCGATAATGCAGACTTGATGAGAAAATCACCTGTGCCTAGAAAGCATTTCGTCACGAGTTTCCTGTGTATTCTCAGAAGCTTTGTCTGACATTGTATCAGATACTTCTTGTGCATCCTCCATTGAAACAACCCTGAAATCAACTTCGACAAATTATAAAATCATCCATCACGAAAATCGCAAAGTTTGAATCTTTACCAAATCCCAGCCTGACCCAACATCTAAAATCAAAGCAGAAACTAAGAAATAATTCAATACAACACCAAATCAAATCACAAAAAATAACACCAAATTATACAAGGAACTTCATTAAAGTCCAATGAATACTTTTACCAAAAACAAAAGTACAACATAATAATCCCAATTGAGATAATCCAAGATTAAGATTTGAAATTTAACATTCTTTGAAAAAAAAAACCAACATTCAGACTCTGTTTTTTGGTTCTGATAATTTTAATCAACAGTTTGGATGCTTGAATATTATGGACTACGAACTTCAAATTCCCAATTTAATTCAGCTGATGGGTAGAACGAAATCAACTTACCTTAGAGTCCTCCTTTGCCGTCGACGGCGATCGCAAGCTAAGCCCTCTGAAGCTTTTGTCACGGCAAGAGCCCTAACCCCTCATGTCCAATTCCTATTTCACTCTACCATCCGCAAAAGCCCTAATTGAGAAGAGCCACGGATAATTGGGGAGAGCTTATTCAAAGAGAATAAGCTCTCTACAAGCTATTGGGCCTAATACACCTCTCTATATACGGTCAAATGGACTTTACTACTTGCTTTTACAAATTTTGAATCCGATCACCGGCCCAACCCAACCAACCTATATCCAAAACCTTCCACCATGGGAGGATCCATACTTCAACTAGTCTCCGTGTTCCTTGAATGGATCTCTTAGTTGTTTTGAGAGGGTTGCCCAAAAGCAGTATATAGGACGTACCCAGTAAAACTTACAAGTAAACCAGATACAAAGATGGCAACTAGGGTTGTTGTTTCCATTATTATTCTTGGGTTCAATGGATAGATCACGTCATTCGTCCGACAATACTAAAAAACAGCAATATTCATATTTTATCAAACAGTTGGTGGGTATAATCATCTGTAGAGCCATGTTGCATGCCTATTGACAGATGCAGACAACTCTTGAGCAACATACATCAAGAAAGTATGTCCATATATGTAGACGTCAACGCAAACAAAGGCACTACTGAGATTTTTTCAAACACCTTATGTGCACGAATCGATTACTACCTAGACGATCGAAGGCACTTTTTAATAATTTTTAGGAAAACTAACGAAAAGTTTAAAAAAAAAAAAACTTCTCTTTTAATGAAAAGCTATTTTTAAAGATATAGTAAATAGTACTAGAAAAATGTATAAATATGATTTTTTATTAAAAATGAATAATACCGAAAATATTTTATTAAAACTCCCATAATTTTTCAAACCAAACTGACCATGCTAACCCCCAATGAATCGACCACTAGGAGCCAGCCGGACAATCTCGTGTTCACCACGAACTCAAGAATTTCTCCACCAACGCCGCCCCCGTCGAATCCTAAATATAAAGGACTTGGATTCTCTGCCCTCCCATTTCGGTGCCCTTCCCGTGCCTTCCTGTTTTGTGTGGTCACGGTTAATCCATTCTAACATTTTATATTGTTTTTTATAAAAATAATAAGACAAAAAAAATAGTAATATAAAATATTGACGTGGCTTAACCGTGATCACACAAACAGGAGGGCACAGGGAAGGCACCGAATTGGGAGGGCAGAGAATGCAAGTCCAAATATAAATGCCTTTGTCAGTGGTGCCATCATGCATGTTGATTGATGAGGACAATGCTGAATTGCTAATGTCATGCATCATGAAGCATGACCATGCATGTGGCTTTTTTTTTATCTTTATTCTTGTATGCATATGGAGGAGATACGTGTCATATTCGCAGATTTTAAATATCAGGGTTCTTTCCAATGCAGAACAATCATGAAGATGCATCTATTCCCAACGTAATATTTTAGAAATTGAGATCCTTTATAAATTTTTGTGTTTGAAGATGATGGATTCCAAAATTTAGATGTGACTTCTATTAACTCATTTTATTGGTTTACTTTACATAAAACCAAATCCTTAAATGGCCCAAATCTTTCTTTTTTGAATAGTTCAAATTTACGAGTTGATTTTCAACCCTCAAATGAAAGATTTTTTCTCTTGGCATTGGGATGAGACTGCAGTGCCAGGGCAGTTGACTTACTAACATGTAACAGAGGAATAATAATCTATCAAAAAAAAAATCGATGCTCGGAGTTCAGTTTCACTTTTTTTTAGGAACTGTTATTAGCATTTTGAAAATTTCATTCTACATTTTTCACAAGTGTATTTTTTTTCTAATTATAAAAAATTTGGAGTGCTAAATGAGATTTTTAGAATGCTAATAACAAATTCCTTTTTTTATTGTTTTATTATTAAACGTGATAAATGACATGCGTACATGCATTATTCAATATAAACGAATAAAAATTAAAGATTAACAAATAGGGAAATGCTTGCATATCAGTACAACAGGTATAAATCCTAAACATAAATCATAATTTTTGAAAGGTCGGTCATGTAAGTTAGTTTCTCAGTCGACAACTCCCTAGCCCTAAATATTCCTTGAATTTCATGAAGGGACCATTCGAACATAGTGGAATTCTATTGGATAAACTCTTTTCTTCCACATCAGCCACGTACATGGACACTACCATAATCACAAAAGAACCGAAACTGATGCATGCATGCAGTCGAGCGATATGGGAAAGGGGGTAAGGGAGTTGGATATTCATTCTTATCCATGTGGAATTTATTCTCAATACGTTTTTTTAAGTATTCTGTAATCATGAAGAAGTTAGGTATCTACCATTAAACTAATTGGCAATATGAAGAGTAACCCAACTTATAAACATATGCAAGGTCATCTCATCTATGTGAGACATTCTCAACATAGTTGAACACATTACTTTGGTAGTTACTGATTAACAAAAAAAAATAAGTTAATCACTGTAGTCAGAATTCTCTTATATCCATCAATATCTTTTTACCTCTCTATTTATTATATAGGAAGAAAACCAAGAATTGGGTTCCTTAAAATCAAGAGTTGGGTTCCTTAGTCAATAAGGAATTAAAAATGGTAGATTTCATTTTCGTTTACTATGATGCATACCATATTGGCATATTGCCACGTTCGTTGAAGAATTTAGTAGCATATACAGTGTCAAGGTGTCCAGGAAAATATATCAAATATGTAAAATTCTCTAGTTATATATGGCCTAAATTCCTATCTAGTGATATCTGACTTTGCAAAATAATTGCAAAAAAGATGGGTTCCCTACTTGGTGAATATGTTGTGTTTAATATTGGAAAACGATCACCTTCGGATTCTCTTTGTAGGGATCTGGATGATCAATCAATCATATTCGTTCATCGTTCATCGTGCAGTTAGAAATTATTTTGAATTTTTTATTTAAAATTGAATATAAATAATATTTAATGAAAATTGATCGCACAATATACAATAAACGAATATAATTGATTGCTTCCCCACAAAATAATCCGAAGAGAATCCTCGTCTGTGTTTAATTATTGATAAAGTTCATGCTTGTTGGCCCCCTTTTCAATTTCTACTATATATAAATACTTTATATTATTATTAATATTACAGTACTGTATCTTGATGCACCGATGCTATCAACCGAAAGTATGTTGGTGGGTTAATATATGTATACAATATATATAGAGGCCCTGTAAGGGAAAGGGTCTCCATTATACCATCTTGACCGTTAGATTTGACTTTAATAAAATTATGTGGTTGAGATTAAATCACAGGCCACAGAATCTCAACCACAGAATTACATTAAAGCCAAATCTAACGTTCAAGAAAGTGTCCTTATTTTTCAAAAAAAATGAGGATCCCTCCCCTTAAAGGGTTCCTATATATATTTGTTGACCCTAAAAACTACCAAGCCTACGTGGCGCGCAGGCCGAGTAATTTATAAGCTAACTACGTTCTTCGGTGAATGCGGGGCGTGCCAACTCGTCGGCCGAGCTCTGCCGAGGAGTAAATTTTTTGATGTTGCGTTGGGTGCGCAGCTGACTTTTGCGTCTTGCGATTGCGGCTGAGAAAGGAACACGTCTCGGCCTCTTGGGCTCTCGAACCTGAAGACAAGGTTACTATTCTTACGAAGTTCACGAATCGTCGTCGTCGGATTCGGTCACAGTGATGTTATTTGTCAGAGTAAACTCTCGCCGAATCGACACCAAAGTGTAAGGGCACAAATACTCAAAGCGAATATAAGTCTTAATAGTGAACGTGGTTCGGCCGTCTGAATGTCGAACTCTAAATCCCACTTGGGAGTATCCAATCATAAAATAACTCGGCGTGCAATGCGCCGAGCTCAATAAACTGTAACACCTCACTTTGCCGAGAAGGCTAATGAGATGACCTCAATCAATAAGGATTCGGAAATCCTTCTCGACCAAGACTTGGATAGGTAACCAACCGTCATCGCCGCAGTGCTGTTGATGCCAACGGAAGATACTGCGAGACCGATTGATTCTACGATGACAGAGCTATCTATGCCGACTTAAGATATCACCGGTTGCTTTCACAGTGTTGTTGATGCCAACGGAAGATGTGTCAGCAAAAAGAGAAAATAAAAATCTCAGTTGTTGAGAGAGTTTGCGCAGGGCAGTTGTGTGTTGAATTGGAGGTCCTTTGAATGATGCATGACCCATGTATTTATAATAGCAGAACACTAGGATTGTCGTTGTAAATAACGGGAATATTCTCTCGAGTATGCATGATCCCTTAACCTTAGAAACCAACCGAGACTTAAACTTCTCGAATTATCCCAAATGGATCCCGTGGCCTTGGTGATTTCCTAGAAACCAACCGAGACTAAACCTCTCGAATTATCCCAAATATTCATCAAGCTTTGGTCGAATCCTACAATACCAATATTTCTGAACTTAGTAAAAAATGCAACCAGGTTCAATCCACGTGCAGCCCCGTGCTTAAGCAAGATAAGCACTCATTTTATATTGATCAGAACGTAGACATTTAACCAAATGTCCTTCATCCATATCATTTCACTTCCAAACAAATGCAAACCATGCACTATTAGAAAGTCAAACTGATCACATCTCCTATTTCTGCATGTTGTCTTATCCTTAGATTTCGATAAGTAGCATTTTCCGTGTTGATCAGGAACGCAAGCCAACTAAGCTATACAGTCCTTGTATAATGCAACTTCTCTTATTTTTTTGACTTTCAAGCTGCAACTATAAGATAATTACCATTTTAATAAATTCCTAACCAAATGGTAATATCAAATAGGGCTTCTTCCATCGAATGACTCAAAGTATACGGGCCGAGTTCGTGCAAAATCACGGCCTCTTAATATTCAGAATCATCTGTCGATCTCAAATTCTGCACATTCAATGGTCTCGATTACTCGGGCTGATGACATAAAATCGGATACAAATAATATTATATTAATATATGTCTATGGTTCTTATTCCAAGTTTTTTAGACCCTATTCATCGTACGGACATTCTTTGAGATCTAAATTATAATTACTTTGCATTGGAATGAGACTGCAGTGCTAGGGCAGTTGACCTACCAACACGTAACAGATGAATAATAATCTACCAAAACAAAATGAGGTTCGGAGTTCAGTTTCATTTTATTTTATTTTTATGAACTGTTATTAACATTTTAAAATTTTCATTATACATTTTTTATAAATGTATTTTTTTTATAATTATATAAAATTTTGAGTGTCAAATGAGATTTTTGAAGTGCTAATAATAATTTTTTATTTTATTGTTTTATTATTGGAAGTGATTAATGACATGCGTATATACATGCATTATTGAATATAAACGAATAAAAATTGAAGATTAACAAATAGGGAAATGCTTGCATATCAGTACAACAGGTATAAATCCTAAAACATAAATCATAATTTTTGAAGGTCGGTCATGTAAGTTAGTTATTCAGTCGACAACTTCCTAGCCCTAAATATTCCTTGAATTTCATGAAGGGACCATTCGAACAAAGTGGAATTCTATTGGATAAACTCTTTTCTTCCACATCAGCCACGTACATGGACACTACCATAATCACAAAAGAACCGAAACTGATGCATGCATGCAGTCGAGCGATATGGGAAAGGGGGTGAGGGAGTTCCACATCAGCCACGTACATGGACACTACCATAATCACAAAAGAACCGAAACTGATGCATATGCATGCAGTCGAGCGATATTGGAAAGGGGGTGAGGGAGTTGGATATTCGTTTTTATCAATGTGGAATTCATTCTCAATACGTTTTTTTACATGTTCTGTAATCATGAAGAAGTTAGGTATCTACCATTAAACTAATTGGCAATATGGAGAGTATCCTAACTTATAAGCATATGCAAGGTCATCTCATCTATGTGAAACATTCTCAACATAGTTGAACACATTACTTTGGTAATTACTGATTAACAAAAAAAATTAAGTTAATCATTGTAGTTATAATTCTCTTATATCCATCAGTATCTTTTTACCTCTCTAAATATTCTACAAGAAGAAAATCAAGAATTGGGTTCCTTAAAATCAAGAGTTGGGTTCCTTAGTCAATAAGGGATTAAAAATGGTAGATTTCATTTTCGTTTACTATGATAGTGGTGTTATCGTTACGCATGCTATATTGGCATATTGCCACATTCGTTGAAGAATTTAGCAGCATATACAGTGTCAAGGTATCCAGGAAAATATATCAAATATGTAAAATTCTCTAGTTATATATGGCCTAAATTTCTATCTAGTGATCTCTGACTTTGCAAAATAATTGCAAAAAAGATGGGTTCCCTACTTGGTGAATATATTGTGTTTAATATTGGAATAGGATCCTCTTCGGATTCTCTTTATGGGGATCCGAATGATCAATCAATCGTGTTTGTTCATTGTACATCATGCGGTTAGAAATTATTTTAAAATTTTTATTTAAAATTGAATATAAATAGTACTCAACTAAAACTGACTGCACGATGTATAATAAATGAATATGATTGATTAATTCCCTACAAAAAAAATCCGAAAAGAATCCTCGTCTGTGTTTAATTATTGATAAAGTTCATGCTTGTTGTCCCCCATTTCTATTATATATAAATACTTTATATTATTATTAATATTACAGTACTGTATCTCGATGCACTGATGCTATCAACCAGGACCGAAAGTGTGTTGGTGGGTTAATAAGGAGTAGGATTTTCTCCCCGCTATCCCTTTTTATCCCCTCTTCTCACACTTTTTTTTTGTCTTATTTTCTATATAAAAAATTCAAAACAAGATGTAGACGTGACGTAATCGCAACCGTTTAAATAGGAGGGGATGGAATGTGAGAGAGATTAGGAAATGAGAGAATCCTACTCCGGTTAATATATATCTATATATATAACATACTTACATACATACATACATACATACATACATATATGTCTATCGTTCTTATTCCAAGTTTTTTAGACCATATTCATCGTACGGACATTCTATGAGATCTAAATTATAATTACTGTGTGATTATATATATATATATATATATATATATATATTTTATATACAATATAATTTTTTATAGCATATGGTAGGGTTGGTTGAAGAATATAAGAATTTCGGGTTGCAAAGTTGATAAATTGGGTCTAATTATGGAGAAATTTTTAATTGTGACGATAACACAGATGGTACACTACGTGTTTTTATGTAAGTGATGGATTTACTTTTTAAGTTATTAACTTTTTAACACACATATCCCACCATTTATAAAGTAACACGTGGTGTATCACCTCGTGTGCCGGTCATACTGAAAAATCTCTCCTAATTATGAAGAAATTTTTTGTTGTGACGGGAATACGGATGGTACACCACGTGTTTTTATGCAAGTGGTGGAAAGTTTTAATTTTTAAGTTTTAACCTTTTAACACACATAACCTACTATTTATATTGGAACATGTGGTGTATCAAATCGTGTGACGGCACTAAAAAATCTCTCCTAATTATGACGCTGATGCTTTTGTGATAAAATTCCTATATTTGCGTGCAGCAATGTGCATGTAGTAAGATGTAAGGTAAAGAAAAATATCAATATAATTAGAAGGGAATTGTTACATCGTCCCTCTAAAATCTTAACAAGTCACCATGCAAATCATCAAAGGGGCATTTTCTTATCCAATCCAAATATCTTAAAGGTGCTTTCTCTTTCTTATCCTTTTTCTGGTCAACTGTTTCTAGATTAAACAATCCTCCCCCACATTCATATAAATACCCAGGCAAATGAACCCACAGTCCACCATCCCCAAGCCTCACAAATCTTACTTAGCTTTCTTCTTTAGAGCTATCATCATTTCCAGTAGCTCACCTGCGTTACTTGTTCTCTAAGGAAACCAATTATTAGTACTAATGGAGACCGTGAGACAGTTGGCTTCAGAGAAGGCTGCTGTGATCTTCACAAAGAGCTCATGCTGCATATGCCACAGCGTGAAGACGCTTTTCTACGAGCTCGGTGCAAGCCCCGCTATTCATGAGCTCGACCGATACGCCAATGGTAGGGACATGGAGTGGGCATTGAGGAACCTTGGCTGCAATCCTGCTCTCCCTGCTGTGTTCATAGGTGGAAAATATGTTGGCTCCTCAAAAGATATCATATCGTACCATGTCGATGGATCTCTAAAACAAATGCTCAAAGATGCAAAAGCCATCTGGTTCTAGCTAGCTAAGCTAGCTAGTAGCTTATATTATCACACAAAAAGATTAATCTATGACCTGTTAATTAGTCTAGTAGTATACACAGAAAACAATCCCAATACCATTGCTTAAAGAAAATGAGTATTGAGGTTTAAGTTTCCCTTTTTCTTTTACTTTGTATGTAACTTCCCTGGCTACGTTCTATATATATGAAATGAAGTTAGATCATATGAAAAGGATCCCGGACAGTTCTGAAAATTTCGCCTTCTACGCATCTCTTTTACAGTTTTTATTTTCATTTTTATTTTGTTACAGAGGAGAAAATGGAACCCTGAACTTTTTTTTATCTACTAATAATTATTGATCAATGTTATCATCATGTATGTTGATTTACGAGGACAATGCTGAATTGCTAATGGCATGCATCATCGTGATCATGAATTGATGGCTTTATTCTTGTATCGGGCGGGATTAACATATATATATATATATATATATATATGAAGACATGGCCTTATTCTAAAATTCCTGCATATAGAAGATCATGCTGAACAATCACGAAGATGCATATATTTATTCCCAAAGGTCAGCCCTGTTGAAATAAAATTCTGTTTTCGTTTGGAATTTTTGGGATGACTTTTGCAGGGCTAGAGAGAGGTTATTCCTTTTTATTTTTTAATAATTTTTATAAACAAAATGATGATTACACTAAGTGGTGTAGTCAAATTAGGATTTGATAGGATTTTAATAGATTTTAGAATCAAAGTGTAGTGAATCAAGATTTTAAAAGACTTTGAAATTGTGGTGTAGTCAAATTAGGATTTCAGAAGATTTTAAAAATACACCCAAATCCATAAGTAGTCAATTGAGATTTTAATGGATATTTTTAGAGTGATTATAAATTTGGGCATATTAAAAAAATCAAAGATTTGGCAGTATTTCATTAAGTTGTGGATTTTGTTAGATTTGTAAACACAAATATATATAACCAAGACAAGAAAGAATCCTACCTTACCCCCCAGGATTTCATTTCAAGCTCTAACCCTCTCTCCTCATTCCTAATTTCTCAGCCATCACTCTGCCTCCCATGCTCAACCAATTCTCCCTCCAATCCAATTCTCCCATGCTCAACCAATAGTGATCCACTTTGGTCTACCCCTCTCCTCATTTTCAAGCTTTTCATCAGTGTACACTATACCATTGCCCTTGTAAACTTCGGGCGGCTTACAACTTCGAACGCCAGCAGCAAACTGGTGCTCCCTATCTTTAACGATTCCAATGCAGCAAACTACATTGTTCTTGAAGCAGAAAAAATGAACAGCCGGAGGAATTGTCAACGAAGAGAGGGGATTAAAAATGAAATCAGTTCACAGCAGTGAATGCTCCACCCGGATGACGCAATGCCAAAGTTTCATGCCATCCCAAATGCTGCAAAAACAACACATGAATCATTAACTGTAAAACAAATAGGAGAAGATCAGACTCAACTAGAGGAACTAATGAACAAATCTTGGAATAAATGAACAAATCTTGGCATTGACACCATCAACAACATAAATGAATTCTCGATGACATTGTTGACGATCCCCGATGACCATCTCAACTTTGAAGAGAAGGGGCAATGACCAGAAAGAAAGAAAAAATAGTTAGGTTCTCAATTGTAGAGAGTTGGAGAGGTTAATCTCAACCATAAGAATTTCATTGAAAATGATCCTACGGCTTTGCGTGTGATTCTCATTTTTTTTTAAATCTTAGGAAATCCAAGAAAGAATCCATACAAATCCATAGAAATCTATAATACAAACTATATAAATCTGTCAAAATCCATATAGAATTGTAGAATCTATTAAAATCTTTTAAAATCAGTTACCTAAAAAAATATATTAAAATCCTCTGAAATCCAAATTGACTATACCGCTCTAAATTTATTTGAACTAGAGAGATTCGAACTTAAATGTAATATGTAGAACACACTGCTCGAGTTAACTATATACGTCGAACGCTCATTAACACTTAACATACAAATAATAGTTTTCATAATAAAATATCAAGTTTCTGATACTATAGAACGTGATAAATAGCATGCATGCACATGCATGATTGAATGAAATTGCAAATAATGTATCTTCGATGTAAAGATTTCCTAATCAGAATATTCAATCTCTTAATCTTCATTTGAAGATCATCCATACAAAAAAGCATTCGAGTCGGTGATCATTTGGTCATTCAAATGTATGAAATAAGTGAATGGTGTAGGTATCAAGTAGCATATTCATGATGAACCGTTGATTTATTTGATACATTTGAATGACTAAACGATCACTGAGTCGAACGAATAATCTTCAAATGAAGATTAAGAGATTGAACGATTCTGATTATGAATTTTTACAGTGAAGATACCTTTATTTGCAAGTGAGAAATGAGCTCATCACCGAAAGAAAACATGCAAGCATTATCCTTACTGAGTTATAGATATAAACGAATATATTACAACACTACCGCATATCAGTTAGTAGAAAATATAATTAAAACAAAAAATATATAGATAATCTTTGAAGATCAGTCCTATATATAGATTAGTTATTCAGTCGACAATATTGTAAGTCCCAAAACCATATGAACAAAGTGGAATTCAATTGGATAAACTCTATCTTTCTCCGCATCAGCCACGCTACCATATTCACAAAGAACAAAGCGCAGAACATGCGATGCAATCCGAACAATTAGCAAATTGATGCATACAGTGAAACAATATCGGAACAAGGGGAGTCGAACATAAGTCATATGCAGGTTAACCACTTGAGTTATAGACTATTGTTTTTAATCCCTATCCTTCACACCAAAAAAAAAAAAAAAATCTTAATTGAGTACTTACTTTTCAATAAGGGAATAAAAATATGGATCTCTATGAATGCCAATGCCTACGTTTATTTAAGTATAACATAATGTACAATGTCAAGGCACGCATCCAATAAATACTATATAAATTTTCTAGCTAGATTGAAGAAAGTTGAGTTTTATCATAAAATCAATAGACAATATGGCGGAGTAGTTAAACTTATTTAATTATAAGTCTATGCAAGACTCATCTTCCCATTAATGTGAGATTTATTCTTAACAAATTCTTTATTAATGAATATAATGTTTTTTATTATTGATAAAGTTCATTCTTGTTGTCCCCCTCTTCCCTAAAGAGTTCATGTTTATTATACAAAAGCTAATATTAACATGTATTGGTATATCTTGATGTTATCAACGAGGACCGAAAGTGTGTTTGTGGGTTAATAACTTTAATATTTATACATGTCTGCGATTCTTACTCAAAGTTTCAAACTCTATCCATCGTACGTATTCCAGGAGATCTAAATTATGATTTACTGTGTGATAAAATATATGCTGCATGCAATTTGTTTATAGCATATGGTAGGTCAGTTGAAGAATACAAGAATCTCATGTCAGAATTGACAATATTAAATATATATTTTGGACATCGAGAAATTCTATGAAAAACAGAACTGATGATAATATCGGTATGATTATAATGGAGTAACCATCATGCAAATCATCACAAAGGGGCATTTTTCTTATCCAATCCAAATATCTTAAAGCTGCTTTCTCTTTCTTATCCATTTTTCTGGTTCTTAAATTGTTTCTCCTTTTCTCTAGATTAAACAAATCCTCCCCCACATCCTTTATAAATAGCCAGGCAGATGAACCTCAAAGTCTACCCCCGAGCTCCACAGATCTTAACTATCTATCTGCTTTAGGGTTTTCATCATATCTAGTAACTGAGCTGCATTACTTAATCTCTAAGAAACCAGTTTTTGTTTTTAGTAATGGAGAGTGTGAGAGAGTTGGCTTCAGAGAAGGCTGCTGTGATCTTCACAAAGAGCTCCTGCTGTATATGCCACAGCGTGAAGACGCTTTTCTACGAGCTCGGTGCAAGCCCGGCGATTCACGAGCTCGACCGATACGCCAATGGGAGGGACATGGAGTGTGCATTGAGAAACCTCGGATGCAATCCTGCTCTTCCTGCTGTGTTCATAGGTGGGAAATATGTCGGCTCGTCGAAAGATATCATATCCTACCATGTGGATGGATCTCTAAAACAAATGCTGAAAGATGCACAAGCCATCTGGTTCTAGCTAGCTAGGGTTTCAGCTAGCTAGTAGCTACATATTATCACACTGGAAGCTTAAGCTTGCTATGCTATAATGTTTTGTTAATTAGATCCGGTAAAAAGAATCGCAATACCATGCTTAAAGAAAATGAGTATTGGGGTTTAATTTTCTTTCTTCTACTTTGTATGTAATTTAATTTTCCTGGCTACATTCTATATGTATATATGAATTGAAGTCAGATCATATGAAAAGTATCCTGGAGAGTTCTGAAAATGTTCTCTAAATAGCATCTTCTACTATTATTATTATAAGTAATTGCGTACTGCTTTATATTTCCCTATCTGCCAAATCAGCAACGGATCGAACTGCGACCATTGACTTATATAAAATTTGAAAGAGAACTACTTTTTGCACTACAAAATATATAGTCATAATGCACCCTTCTTGCCTTAATTTTCTTCGTTAAGAAGACGTACTCCAGTATTATTATTTTTATTTTAAAGTGTCAATAGCAGTTTTAATTGGTAAATGCTTATTATTTCAAATTTTATTGTTGACTTAGGCGGCAAATGATACGTACTACATCATTGCATAAAACCAAAAATAACGAAAATCTTGTAGAAGTGAGAATGCCACTTAGGTTGGGAATGAAAAGTTGAGTTGTCCAATAAAACTATAAACCGCAGAGCGTTTTTCATCTATTTGTGAGTGTTCAACAAAGATTGTTCCTTGCAAAGCTATATATATTGCAATATAGAATAAGGTCTAACAAAGTAGATCACTTTTTATTATCATCAAGATTTCTGAATATATATTTGAACAATAATATTGTTAGGATAATAATGCTAGAGGGACTAAATTTGTAGACAAAATTTTGTAAACTAAATGACATGGAAGTTGATGATTGGATTATAACTGAAGCGTTGATAAATATACTTATTCCTATTGGTGATACATCATTTAGTTTGCAAATTTTATCTATAAATTTAGTCTCTAGCATTACCCATATTGTTAATTTCCCAATATCAATTAACTTATCCACTAGCCTAGGACGTATATATCCATTTCCCACTATATATATGTGTGTGTGTATATATATATGTATGTATGTATATATGATGCAGATGTAAAATGTACTATAGTTTTCATTACTATTTTAATTCGTTGTATATGAGTCACTAATATGGAATAACCATAAGATAAGAATCCAAGCCTTTGCATATATAGGAAACACTATGTATATTAGTCTATAAAAAGCAAAAGATGAAATGGTTCGTTCTCAGCATTCTGGCGCTGCCATAGACTAGAGTATCAATATCTCTTGGCTTTAACAACTGCCAACTGAATTTCGGTACGCCATGTGCTTGACGCTTTTACCCAAGATGCATCCATACAACCGAGGATATATATGTCCTCTTATATCTAGCTCTCATCTCAGTTACACAGCAAAATCTCTCGAGACGCTAAAGGATCTAAGAAAAACAATGAAAATTAGATACCCTAAGCTTTCTGTGCCTTGTATTCCTCCAAATCCAATAGAACAAAAAGTTATCCACTGTGGCCTTCAGAATAAGCAATTAATTTACTCGATGATATATAATCTGACCTCACATTATATTCTAACGCTTTCCTCCAAGAAGAGGAATTAATCCTCTTCATGTGGAGCATGGCAAGTTTGGAAAATCAGTAGCATCAGAACGTGCATGAATCATGTATCAGCTCGCACGTGCCCGCCGTGCCCGTCGTGCCCCTACGTGCGAAAAGGAATCGTGCAAGTTGGTGGGCGCAACAGAAGAGAATCACACAGCACCGAAAGCCATAGATCTCATTCCCCATCAATCTGCTGCTCTGCACAAGGATTCAAGGGAATGTATTTGAGAGAATCTGGTATAAATTGACCAGCTGCCTTATAGAAAATTTCTCTACTTTTGTTAATTGTCTCTTGAGACAGTCCGTAGCGAGTATTTATTTGGTCTTGTTTGGGTTAAATCTTCACAACCTGAAAAGAAATGGTGCATAGGCCATCCACGTGTGTCATATATCAATTTAACCACTCAATTATATCTAGTAAACTAATTAATTCATTTCATTCGTGTGCAAAGGACATATAGGACATATACACTACCCTCGCCAATTCACCTAACGCACAACTCTTCACTTTACTTGAATCAGTAGCTAAGCATGTATTGCATGCAGGAAAAGCATCTGCAACTTGTTCAGTCTAACAGAACATGCTAGTCTTTATCATAAAAAAGTAGATTTTTTATTAGGGCATCTAAGTAAAGACCATCTTCTTTTGAATATTTTTGTTGTTGAAAGGAAGCAAGCAGTCCACACCCAATGCTGCTTCTATAAATAGTCCAGCATGAGAGCTCAAATTAATATGCAAACAACCTTAAGCCTTCAACCCTTCTCTCTCTAGCTAGCCCATCTAATTCTCTTCTAATTCCAAAACCCAATCCAACCATTGGATCGAGTTCAGTCTGAACTTGAACCGATGGTTTTGATCAAATCTTAAGTTAACAAGTATTCTCAGGTAAAACTTTGCCATATTTGGTTTACTTTTCCTTTCAAGGCAAAAGTTTGCCATATTGGGAAGATATTCCTGATCAAACAAGTTTTCCAAGATGGACAAAGTAATGAGGTTGGCATCAGAGAAGGGTGTGGTGATTTTTAGCAAGAGCTCATGTTGCCTGTGTTACGCAGTCAAAATTCTATTCCAAGAAATTGGGGTGAGTCCTGTGGTTCATGAGATTGACCAAGATCCCGAGGGCCGGGAAATGGAGAAGGCTCTTACGAGGATGGGGTGTACCGCGCCAGTGCCCGCTGTGTTCATAGGTGGAAATCTCATTGGATCGACCAACGAAGTCATGTCCCTCCACCTAAAAGGCCAGCTGATCCCAAAGCTGAAGCCTTATCAGCAGTAGACTATGTCTTAATTAGTTAACTACTCAAATATCATGTTGAAAATAAAAATAAACTGGCTCAAATTAGTACTGTAGTGAGCTTTGTATTAAAAAAGTCTATGTAGTGCTCTTGTTTTTCCTCCTTAAAATACTTATGTAGTGTTTCATGTGTATTGTATTCTGTAAGATTTGATCAGCTATAGCTTGTAACCTAAACCATGTTTCCTATTTTTAATGAAGTAGCTTTACTATATGTCTTGGTGCACCATTATTTGAGCAGGGCCGGTCTAGATATTTTTGAGGCCCTGGGCGATGCAAAAAAATGTGTTCTCACTTCAGATAAATAATTTATTTGCTTTCACATGTAAGACATCGATAAAATTATATTTAGAAAAACACTTCAAACTCAATAATTTGGAAACACGGAATAACTAATTTATTTTGTATCGAGAGAAGGGAACCAAAAAACTTCAGGCTTACAAGTAGATAGATTATGAGTTTTGTTTTCCATGTGAACTTTTAAAGTGTTTTTTATAAATCGTGAGATATTTTTTCTTATTTACTAATCTCGTCAATATAAGACTAAAATAATAATAATGTTTTCGAGTCTTTAAGGATATGTATAAGTAATGAATTAACACTAAATTAAACATTTTGGATGACACGTAATATTATTTGCAAATTTAGTCTACGCATTACTTTTTGTTGAAGATTAAACTTGAATTGGAATGGATATTTAAAAATAGCAACCCACGTAGCTACTAGCTATTAAATAAATTAACAACCAAACAAAAATTTGTAAAAATTGAAAAATAAAATAAACATGCACATAACATTTCGAACTTAGGACCTCTCGTTAATTTTAAACAACGAAAACCATTACTTCTAATTAAACTTCTTGATCATTTAGCCAAATTTTATAAATTTATACTGTTATGAAAAGAAATTTGTAAAAAATGAAATGTAAATAAGCACACATGGTGTTTTGAATCTAAGGCCTCCTCATTAATTTTAAACAACAAAACCACAAATTCTAGTTAAATTCCTTTGTCACTAAACCAAATTTTATAAATTTAAACTCTTATAAAAACATATATAAATATATCACCCTAATAAATTTGGTGTCCCCAATTTTTTTGGGCCCCGGACAGTCGCCCAACCCAAATTGGGCCTGTACTTGAGTATCCTCTTCTCCACACATAGAGCAATTTATAGAATATGTTCATGTTAGAAATTTTTTTATTTGCTTAGTCTAAATATTGCAGTAATGCAGATTGTAGAAATAAAATACAAAGAAAGAATGAAAAGCTCTCTTTCTACAACTTGGAACCAAAATTTAAGTGAATTACCTCTAACTAAGTTTATTGAACATGAGGAAGAAATATTCTTGGGTAAATTACATAATAGCCCATCAGGTTTGAGGTCTATTACAACCACATACAACAACTTTAAAACATTTCACTTTCATACATCAAGTACCATTTTATTTCAAAATAACACCTCCGTTAGATTTTCCATCCATTAGTCTGTTAAATGCTGACGTGACTGCCACATTTGTGCTGATGTGGCTGCCACGTGGTAAAATAATTATTTATACATTAAAAATATTATAATATAACACTATTATAAAAATTAAAAAAAAAAAAAGCCCTCAACCTTCTTCTTCCCCGCTCCCATATTCCCCCAACCTATACCCCGCCGAAACCCCATATCCTTCATCTTCCCAATCCGTCCTCCCTCCCTGTAACCCAAATCCAAATCCAAAACCACTCCCACCCATCCTCCACCTCCTTCGCACACCCATCTTCCCATCTCCTTCACCCCCACCCGAGCCCAACCTGCAACCCAGAAAGAAAAAAGAGAGAGAAAAAAAAACCCCCCATTTTCATCTTCCATGCAACTCACCCCTTTCTCCTCCCTCTCGTCTTCCCCAAACCCACCGTGCACCCATCCTCCACCTCCTCCTCCGCACCCAGTATCAGCAACCCAGAAAAGAAAAGGAGAAGAAAAAAAAAACCCATCTCGTCGGGGAGGGGGATTTAACGGGAGTGGGTTGTCGGGGGGGGGGGGGGGTGGGATTTGACGGGAGTGGGTCGTCGGGGGAGGGGGGATTTGACGGGAATGGGTCGTTGGGGGGTGGGGGGGGGAGAAGGAGGTTGCTGCGCTGGGTTTCTGGGGGGATTAATGGGGAGGTGGGTTTGGGATTAATTGGTTTCTAGTTTTCGGGGTTGCGGGTAAAGCTTTCAGATTTTTATTTTTAATATTTAGAAGATTAGATTTAAAAAAAAATAATTAA